AACAGCTGGGGCACCCACCCTCTGGCTTAGGTAGACCATGTGCTGCAAACTATAGCCTATGGGCCAGATGCGGGCAGGAGCTCGTTTTAATTTAATTTAATTAAAATAAATTAAACTACAGATTATATTCACTGGGTTTTTTTTTTGTATTAGTTTCAGGTGTATGGCATAGTGGTTAGATAATCATATACCTTACAAAGATCTCCCTCTCGCTATTTCCTGGTACCAGTGACCCACCTGGCACCATCCAATAGTTATTCAATATTCAGAGCCTCTTTTTGTGAATAAAGTTTTATTGGCCCACAGCCACATTCATTCATTTACATATTGTCTTTCTTGCTTTGGTGCTGTGGTGGCTGGGTTGAGCACTTGTGACTGAGACCTGCAAAGGCTCAACTATTTCTGTCTTTCTGGAGCCCTTTATAGAAAAAGTTTGCCGGCTCCTGGTGTAGATAGACTAAGGCGTTCTACAAGTGAGTGAATGAGCCTGTCTATTTTCTTGTTAAGCCAGCCTGGGGAAGAAGCAGGGAAATAGGAACATTTGTTCACGGAGCCTACGATCACCCAGAAATAACAGGTTGCACCCTGTTCGCCTTTACCAGCAGGCTGGTAACACACCTTGTACTTACCGGGGAGAAAAGGCATAACTCATTTTACCTGAAACGATGTCGTTTTCCAGTTTTAAATGTTCCATATTGGTTATCAGATCGTTTTTGATGGAGCGGGAAACATTTACAAGGAGCAGATGAGGCAGGCATCTGATTGACAAGGAGATTGTCGGGGCGGTAGTTCTCAGCCACAACTTCCCCACTTCAGCAAAGGACAAAATCTCCCGAGAAGAGATCGGATTATCTGGCACTCAGCTCCTCTGGACCCTCCCAGGAGCACCTGCCCCCCAGCCAGGTGTGGGGCGGGCCAAGGGCGTGGGGGAAACTTGGCTTTGGAAGTGGCAGTGCCCTGGCTTCTATGAGACAGAAAGCACTTCGGTGCCAGTTAGGGATGTTAACTGTCCTATTTGAATTTTCCACTTATATTTAGATCTTAATGACTCTTCCTGTCCTATTATTAACTCACTGAAAGGAAGTCGCGCACTGACGTAGAGCTTGCTGCTCTCATGCAGAAGCCACAAAAGCATCCTAGAAGACCCTGTCCAGGCTAGAGGTCGTTTTACTGCTTGACAGGCACAGTTCTGGGTGCCCAGGTTTAAGGCCTTGCTCTGGGCTTGGGGGTCAGATAAGTTTTTTTTTAATTTTTAAAATTTTTCAGTTACAGTTTACATTCAGTATTATTTTGTATCAGTTTCAGGTGTATAGCATAGTGCTTTACAAAGTGATCCCCCTGATATTTGAAGTACCTGCCTGCTGTCATTCATACACAGTGATTCCAGTATTACTGACTGTGTTCCCTGTGTTGCACTTGACATCCCCGTGACTGGCCTGTAACTCCCAGTCTGTGCTTCTTCATCCCTTCGCCTTCCCCCCAGTCTCCTGCCAGATGAATCTTTTTAGCCTGGTTTTCTCATCTGCCAAGTAAAACTAGTAGCACCTTCCCCTCTATGTGGTTGTGAGGACGAAAGGAAGATGGCGTGTGTGACAGTGTGGTGACAAACGTGGTGTGGGAAGAATGTCGTAACAATGGCGTTGTTCTCTGGAACTCGAGTAGATGCTCCGTCTTAACTGGTGAACTGAAACAGGGAACTGACTGACTGGGCTCAAGAAGGACGTGACCCCGGAGCCAGGTTTCAGAGCGCGAGCTTGTCTGTGTCTCGGGGCTCGGTGCCATTTTTGGAAACTAATAAGTATCTACTGTCTTTGCTGCAAACTCCTGTTTGTGTGTGTGTGTGTGTGTGTGTGTGTGTGTGTGTTTAAAGAGTTTATTTACTTTTAGACAGAGGGGAAGGGTAGGAGAAAGAGACAGAAACATCATTGTGTGGTTGCCTCTTGTGTGCCCCTTACTGGGGACCTAGTCCATAACCCAGGCATGTGCCCTGCCTTGGAATTGAACCAGAGACCCTTTGGTCTGCAGGCCGGCACTCAATCCACTGACCCACACCAGCCAGGACTCCTGTTGGTGTTTTATTGGGCTTTGATACATGCAGACAAATGGACTCCTTTGATCTACGTATGATTTTGGCTCCTAGCCTGGGGCTTTTTGGCCTGTGGATTTGGTGTCCCCTACCTCTGGCTTGGGGCTTGCCACCAGACCCCCAGCCCAGTAGCCGCCCAGCCCTGTTGAAGCTTGGAGGCGGAAGCTAGATGGCAGCCTGTGACCAGGCAGCCTGGCCCACAGTGCTCTGGTGTGCAGCACAAGGAAGGAGGGACTGGAAAGGCTTAGGTTTGGAATTTGCCCTGGTTTTGGAAACTGAAGATTCTTATGCCCCAGGCTCGTGAGAGGGGACCAGCCCTGCCTGCTACACCATCATGAAACTAGACTGAATGACCTCATTGGCCTCAGGACCTGATAAGGTGGGCCACTGCTCCCAGCCCTGGCCCCAGCCGGTGGCTAGAGCCCCAGCGCCTTAATCACCGTGATTCTTATTTTCTGGGCCGTGGGTTTTATTTTATTCTGTTATTTTATCTACATTTATTTTGTTTTGAGGGAACAGTAGCCATGTGAGACTTATTCAGTTAGTAATGAAATCATGTTACTGGTTTGTGAAGAAACAGACAAAAAACTAAAAGTTCAGACACTGACTCAGATACAGGTGGGAATTTAGGGACCCCATTTAATCAGAGCAGTTCAAGGTGGACAGTCCTGCCTGGTTGGACCTCTTCTCGTTTCTCTAAATCCTGCAGCCTTTCTTTTAGATTAGCCGCTGTGATGAGCAGTTTTTCCCCCATGTGGGTTCTGACCCGTGGGAACCATCCGGAGCGAGGTTCTAGAGCCCGAGTTTACCTGTCTCGACTGCGGTGCCATTTCCACAAACTAATAAACCTCTCCCTTCCTCACTGCAAAAGAAGTAAATGAAGAGATAAAATAAGATGAGATAAAATACAAAGGTAAAATCACTGTTGAAAGTCTTTTTCTTAGTATAAATGAGAGGAGGAGCTTTAGAGGAGCTGGTTGGTCAACAAGGATCTGTGAGGCCGCGTGCAAAGAGTGGGCCTTTTTTTTTTTTTAAAGATTGTATTTATCTTTAGAGGGGAAGGGAAGGAGGGAGAGAGAGAGAAATATCAATGTATGGTTGCCTCTTGTGCGTCCCCCGCTGGGAACTGACCTGCAACCCAGGTATGTGCCCTGACTGGGAATCGAACCGCAGTTGTTTGGTTCTCAGGCCCGCGCTCAATCCACTGAGCTACACCAGCCGGAGCAAGAGCAGGCTTTTTGAGAACAGTAAAACCTTATAATAAGATTGAGGAACAAGACCTAGGTGCCTACAATCTTGGCCACTCTGCCCCCTGGGGGTTCTAGCCATTCAAGTAAAGAAAGAAAAGATAAGTAACGTAAAAGCATTAGAGGTGAACAGACAGAACCGATACTACTTAGAGACAAGATTTTTAATCAGTAAACTGTTAGAACTGTTCATACATGTGGACAGCATGAAAAATCTTAACACAGCATTTCTATGTAGCAACAATAACTACTTAGGAAATATCAGAGAAAACGATGCTATTCACCGTATCAACAAAAATTAGGCAGTTTCTAACCAGTATACGAGATCTTTGTCGAGGAAACTAACGTTTTAGTCAAGGACAGAAAAAAAATATTATGCATGGAGGCTCATTCAAACGTAGGCGCTATGGTTGTGGCTAAGCTGTTACCCGGTTGAGGCCCAGAGTGGGTTGAACAGCCTTCTAAGGCCACCCAGCCAGTTACACCAGGTCCTTGTATTGTTGACCACTGGTCTTTCTCATAGCTCCTAAACAGGCTTTCTTACCGGGTTCCAATGGACAGTTTTCCTAATGAGTTTCTTGTGAGTGGTTTTATGTGTTTGGAGTGTGGCTTTGCTGGATTCTATAATACATCACTAGGGAAGTATTACTCTTGATAGTTTGGGATAGAAAGAGGTCTGACTCCCATGAATTGGCTCCTTTTCTCATCTTTCTGCTATTGTTGGTTCTAGGTAGGCGGGGTAGCCCCTGGTAATAGGAACTTACCATGTTTAAGACACGTGGCTTTAGCCCTGGCCGATGTGGCTCAGTGGATTGAGCTCCGGCCTGCGAACCAAAGGGTCGCTGGTTTGATTCCTGGTCGGAGTGTGTGCCTAGGTTGTGGGCCAGGTCCCCAGTGGGGAGCGCATGAGAGGCAACCACACATTGATGTTTTTTCCCCTTCTTTCTCCCTTCCCCTCTGTCTAAAAATAAATAAATAAAATCTCTAAAAAAGAAAAAGAAGTATGGCTTTAGGTAGCTTGTTGGCTCATAGTACTTTAAGCATTCAAGATAGACTTAAAAAATGGTCACCCATTTTAAGCCCAATTGATCTGTTCTCCAAAAGTCTGCTGTTGAAAGAATCCCAGGGAAAACTGACATTATTTTGTTGGCTTTGTACATTTAGACTCACCATAGTTGGGGCTTGTAACTATATCTACAATATTAGTATTGACAGCGCTGTGTTAAATGCATGTATCATATCATCCCATTGAATCCCAACCATAATACCATGAAGTTAAATATTATACCCATTTTACAGATGAGAAAATTGAAGCTGAGAGGTTAAGAGACTTGCCCAGTGTCATGTAGCTAAAATGTAGCTGGTGGAGCTAAAGTTTGAAGCTGGGTGTGCCTTGGTTGTAGCCCTTACGCTGTCCTGCTACAGGGCTGCCTAGTGACTTGTAGACACCCGCTCTTCAATCTGTATCCTCCTAAAATAGAAGGAAAAAGTGTTAATGTGTAATGATCTGTAAACCCTGTATTTAGTAGAGTCACTCAATGATGATTTTTTAATGAATGTATGAAATGCTGTGCTTTGCTTTTGTCGTTATTGATGTTTGTTCAAATCCCTTTTGAGAATGCACATTTGTTTTGAAACCGAACCTGTCTTTCTTGCCTACATTTCAGTCAGAACTAAGACATGGTCCGTTTTACTATATGAAGCAGCCACTCACCACAGACCCTGTTGATGTTGTACCGCAGGACGGTCGGAATGATTTCTACTGCTGGGTCTGTCACCGGGAAGGCCAAGTCCTTTGCTGTGAGCTCTGTCCCCGGGTTTATCACGCTAAGTGTCTGAGACTGACATCGGAACCAGAGGGGGACTGGTTTTGTCCTGAATGTGAGGTTAGTTCTTGGTGAATGAATGCATTGTCTGCCTCGTGACTTCTCCTGGCTCTTTTCTCCCTTCTGTTTTTAACTCTTCAAATCATCCTGATTCAGGGAAGAGAGAAATTTCTTGCCTGCCACCTGCTCTATCCTGGTCATTCCCTTCTGGGACCTACGTTGGCAGTGTGGCCTCTGGGAAAGACAATGGCCCTGAATAAATATTATTTCGATTCTTCACGGGTCTTTGGATCTCTTTGAGATCTGCAGCCTTCTCTGATTCTCTTGTAACGGACATTTCAGAAGCTTACTTACAAGTCTTCACTTAGTTTGAAAAGCTCTCATGCTGTTTTCCCACTTCTTGGATGTTCTCTCTCTTGCTACATCATTGGCTCGTTGGCAGTAGCCAGGCGAGGAAGACTAGTTTTGGTCGTGTGCTCCATGTGGTCGCTGTCTGATGCTTTCATGCGGGTAGCAGCGACTTCTTGTGTGCTTTTTAGGTGCTAGGGAATCTGCAGTAAACAAAAAGAGGCATGAATCGTACTTTCTTAGGAGGAAGAGGCAAAAACCGGAGTAAATTAAGTTACATACAGCGAATTAGAAAGAAGGGTGGGTGTTCTGGAGATAATGGATCGAACTGAAGATGAGGAATAGGGCGCGTGGAGGGTGCAAGGCATTTTCATTTTAAACGAAGAGATCCAGGAAGCCTTACTAAGATTTGAGAAAGACTTGAAGAGGAGGAGGAATGAGCCATGTAGCCAAGGGACGGGGGTGGGGGGAGACCGCCCCTCTCCCCCAGGCAGAGATGGCTACAAGTTCAGGACAGAAAAGCCTTCTGGCATAGTGAAGGGAAAGTTGTATTTATTTTAACAGAGTCTAAGCACTCGGCATTAAAACAATCACAGTGGTTTCCACTATTCTCAGGTGTCTTCTTCTATTCTTGGTGACATCCGGTCTGATACATTTTCAAAGTGCCGGAAATGAGAACGTCATCTACAAAATTACCTAATATGGAATGTCACTTGCATTCAAAGGTATCCTGAAATTAGATCTCAGATGAGGGAAGCTTTCTAGGGGTGAAATGGAACGTTCTCCCAGATGCCGTTAGTGGGGGGAGAAGCCAGCCAGAGGACAGTGTCTGTGGTACTGCTTTTGTGGGAGGAAAAAGAGACAAATAAGAAATACAAGAGAAGTCAGACATTCCCTCAAGAGGATGATCTGAGAGGACCTCTCAGTGGTGTTCTGCCTCCGGCTCTCTTTGGGTGACTTATGTGGCAGAGGTGGCCAGGACACACGCAGCTCAGCTGCGCCCTCCTGCTCAGAGCCCGCTTTCGCTCTTCTTCATCTGCTTTGGAGCCTTCCCATGCTTCCTTTTTCCTTGGCCAGCCCTTCCCGTCTGTAAAATCACTGCTTAATAACTTCGAAAAAAAGATAGTGGTCTGAGAGGATGCTATTGCCGCAGATCTAGGTCTGGAGGAATGGTGGCTGAAACAGTAGAGGTTTATTATCATGCACGAGAAACTCCCGGAGGCGGGGCCCGGCCTGAGTGTGCGCAGAGCCAGAGTCGGACTCTTCTCGTTCCATCCTCGAGGCCGTGTGTCCCCGAGATGGCCACTGGGGATTCTGTCACAGGTGGCGAGACAAAAATCCCCTAGTAGGAGCGTCTCTCTTCACATCCCTTTTTATCAGGCAGAAGGACTTTGCTCTCAGCCTTCAGCTGACTTGCCCTTGGGCTCGTTGGTCAGGATTGGATCGCTAGTACTTATGTCGAAAAAAAAAAAAAGCTTGAAAAATGCATATCTGGCACTTTCAGCCTGTGTTGTGGGAACCAGGCTTGCCAGGGGAGGAGAAGAGGTTGGGGGCGTGGTGCAGAGGAGGTGAGTGGCGGTTGAGTGTGCCATCCAAGTGCTCTCCAGATACGTTCCCTGGAAGCAAACAAGGATTCAGACAAACAGGCGTGCTGTGTCTAAGGGTTCAAGCCCCGTTGTTCTTCCGGGTGGGTTGGTAGGGTAGTGAGCTGAGAAAACCGGCTCTTTCAGGTTAGTTAGGTGCTTGAGTCACTCGCTGTTTCCAGCTTCGGGGCGCCTCTTGCATTGCCCTTTTCCTCGAAAGTTCCCTTTGGGGGATCCAGACATAGGAAGAATGGAAATGAAATCCGAATTAGTTGGAGGGAACTTTTCTCAGCTCTCTCGACACAGATGGTTCCAGTGTTTCCTGAGAGCATCAGACTCTGCTATTTTCGTTGTTGTTGCTACTTACGGGATCCGAAGCTCTGAGACGCGGCCCCAGATTCACAGAGCGGCATCCGGTGTCTGGCGTTTCTCTGGGCCTCTTCTTGGGTGGGAATTTCCCTTATAAAATGACATTTGTTGCCCATGGAGATAGACAGCTCAACAGTGCTTCTCGTGTACTTTGCCAGAATGTCCCAAGTGGGTTCGCATCCGTGGTGACGGAGAATTAAGTCATATTTATTTTTAGTTTGCTCCCATCCCTTGGGTTCTTCTACCACGAGGACTGTCCCATTCTGGCGGTGACGTCATCGAGTTCCTGCTGGTTCATGATAGGAAGAGATCGCCCGGAAACCATCTGTGGCCTCTCTTCTCCCCCCTTCTTGAAACCCAAGGTTGTAATAATGACACGTTTCAGGTCCCTGCCTCGCCGCATCTTTCTCAGATTCTGTCATCTTCAAGGGCGCAGAAAGCGCTTCTTACAAGGTCATGGGTGGATTGGTGCTCTTCCGACTTTCATCCACTGATCCATCCAGTCCATCGTCAGGTAGATTGGAGGCCTTGTCAAGTGCAACAGCTAGTCTCCTTTGGCGGTTGGTTTTCCTGTGGGAGCTCACTGGAACCTTCAGAGGAGAGGGCATTCAGCACGTGGGAAGGAGCTGTTTCCCTAACTGGACGTGTGTGTGGTTTTTGGCTTGTAGAAGATCACGGTCGCAGAATGCATTGAGACCCAGAGCAAAGCCATGACGATGCTCACCATCGAGCAGCTGTCCTACCTGCTCAAGTTCGCCATCCAGAAGATGAAACAGCCAGGGGTAAGACGGCAGTGCCTCTCGCATACGCGGACGTGGAAGCGGTGACTTCGGTTCCCTTAACGTCTTACTCCGCGTAGCTTGAGCTTTTCAGGCCCGATTTCAGATGTTACAGACGTAAGTGAAACACAGGGTGTGACGGCAGGCACTTCTCTGTCGTGAGCACTCTGTGTCCTCAAAGACTTTCATTGGGAAATGACACATAGCAGAAAGTTGAGGGGGATTTGAAGTTCTGATTGGTTATGTAGGAAGCCTTATACCGCATCAGGTAAGGGGAAGTTTAAGCCTTCCCACGGGAGTTAGTAAAATGGCATTGCAGTGAGAAAGCTGTGTACAACCCAGTTTATTTATAGTCAAGGTCGGATGACAGAGCCTTCAAGTAGAACCGAACCAGCGAGGTTTCCCGTAAAGGGTGAGACCTTGGTTAGTGCCCTCAGTGGGGCGGTGAGATTTGATGCACCGTGAAAGCAAGGCTGCCACGCTGAGCTGGAACGCTGTGCCCTTCACAGATTTCCCTCCCGAGGACCAGTCTGGTCGTAGCCACGGTGCTTTTAGTTTTTTTGTGCCCATTTTCAGGGAGATGACTGTAAAATACCTTCTGAAACCCACCAGTCTGTGATGCCAATGTAATTGATATACTATGACATTTGCCCTCTCTGAAGCTTGAGGATGGAGTTCTCTTTTTCTGCTTGGCACAGAGGCACCCGGTGGACCAGTGGTGAACCTTTGTGAAAATCTTCCGAGTTTGCTTTCTAAGTCAAATGAATACATAGAAATGTAGAAAGAATCTCAGGGTATATAGTAGCCACTGTGGTTTAATTTCTCTCAAACAGTAAGCTTCGGTTTTGAGATTATGCAGTGAAATTTGATATGTTGATGAAAAAGATTCGGAGCACGCCATTTGGGTATTGCTAAATTGGGAACCTAGCTGTCTCTTTTATAAAATGTCTGTCGGCGGAAGCAGGAGCAGATAGCCTCAGTTTGGTTAAAAAGACACTTTTTTAAACCTGCGGAGTTTCGTATGCTGAGTGACAGGGAATTACTTTCTGCTTTTCATCGGCAGAATTTCATCCGCTGAAGACTGTTACCAAAAAGAAGGGAGTCATGAAGACTTCTTGACACTATAGAATTATTTTTAAAAAAAGAATTGGAGAGAGTGTTTATTTCCCACATAAATTGTTTGATATAAGATCATTCAGGGCAGAAAGTTGCTGATTTTGTGGTGGCATCTTTTAAACATACAATGACCACACTCTCATTTTGGGTAAAAAGCCTCGGTTGATGGCAGATGGTAACCCATTCAGATGCCTTGCTTTGAGTATATTTTGGTGTTGAATAAATCTCTTAATATTTTTTTATTCATAAGTAAACAACACCCATAAACAAACCAGCCTTACATTTTCAGCTGATTCAAGTAGGGCTTAAGAAAATAGATCAAGATGAAACAAACACTTTTACATAGTCCTGTGTTGAAGGTGATTGGGCTTCTCAAAGGAGCAGCAAAATCTAACTGTTCAAATTTTTTCCCCTCGTGTAAATTATCTGTTGATACTTAGGGGAACTTTCTGTGGTTTATCCTCTCTAGGTACAGCCCAACTTTACCCTCATTCAGTTTTGATTATGGGCATTTTTGCAGTGTATAGATAAGCTTCATTCAGAGTTCATAGAGTTTTTGTCAGTCTTAATAAAGGGTGGGGCAAAAGTGTGTTTACAGTTGTGAATATGTGAAGCACAGAGTTTATTCTTGTATTGTTATTTATTGTATCATTTTCTATTTGAACAACTGCCAGCCTACTTTTGCCCCACTCTGTATGAGAGAGGACAGGACCTGTTCTTTGCCTATATCTTGAAAAGAAAACAGATGTAACCAGACCACAAGTGGGCCTGTGATTATTGATAAAATTAGAAGGGAAACCGATTTGGAGCTCCTTGAGGTCATCCTTTTTGAAAACTTTTAGAACCGGATGGTCTGAAAGTGTGTCTCCATTTTTAAAGGGCTTGGTTGGCTTTAATGGTTGGTCTTCCACCGCAGTGATGAGTTTGCATCTGCGAATCCATCTTTTCCTCCACAGACAGATGCGTTCCAGAAGCCTGTTCCTTTGGAACAGCACCCCGACTACGCAGAATACATCTTCCACCCCATGGACCTCTGCACATTGGAAAAGGTCGGCCTTCTCCCAAGAACCTCATCGTTGTAGCCCACAGTTGTTGCGATGACTCGGGGTCCTCCCTCCTTTTTCATGCCCCCACCTCAAGCTAGGTGGTCTCTCTTTTTCCTCTGCCCCGATTTTATCGGGGTGGAAGAACTTTCACCCCTTGAGTTCTTCTGTGACATTCTTTCCAGGATGGCAACGGAGTGTCGGAGTCCACGATTAACTCCAAATGTTACTTCTGCTCGTGATTCCAGTGCTTTCCCTGAAAAAAGTCACAGCTTTGAATTAGTGATTTGATGGGCATGATGAATCTTACCCCCTCTTCTCCCCCTTTTGGAGGTGCTCATGAGGGCCCCAGGAGGGAAGAGGGGGAAGCTAAGTGTCTGGGAAACCTTCCCCTTAGCCATACATTCGTGGCTTCACAGAACGTGATTTATTCTACTGATAAGGATATTTCTCTCATGCGTGAAGGTGTCTTAAGAGCTCATGCTAAATCTCCATGCTGGAAATGATACTTGTGACCCTAAGATTGTGCACGACATCCTGGTGCTGATCTTCAAATTGTTGGCACCAAAATCTGGGTCAAGGAAACGTGGATGAGGACAGATGACCCCCCACACAAGAAATCTACCCTTCTTTTGGGAAACGGCACATACCCTCATGGCATTCCAGAAAAAAGGCATTGGAAAAACAGGGTTGGAATGCATAAACTAATAGCTTTGGAACTCTGGATACTTTTCTCAACATTCTCATATCCTGGCCCCCCTGTTTATAAAATGGGGGTGATAATAACGGCTTCATTGAGTTCTGCATTATGAGGCTTACGGGAGACTATTACTAGTAATAATAAATACGTAAATATGTATATATAATGTCCTGGTTCATTGGAATAAGCTGCTTGATAAAAGAGAGCTGCTGTAAAATGAGAAAATTCAAGTTCGCGTGATGAATTCAGTGACTGCGTTTTTATAGAGTTATAGATCTCAACCATGACCGCGTCTTGGGGAATGAGTAAAAGCATTAATTAATTTGGCAAACGACTGCTAAGACAATGATGTGGGGGACGCAGGTGTTGCCGGCTGTGGCTTGTGGAGGCTCACTGGTGATTATGTCCCGGCTTCTCTCCCCAGAACGCTAAGAAGAAAATGTACGGCTGCACAGAAGCCTTCCTGGCCGACGCCAAGTGGATTTTGCACAACTGCATCATTTACAATGGGGGTGAGTGGCGCAGACAACGCCTGCAAAAGAGTGTGCTGTGTGTGCTGCCTGTTCTCCCACCCTGCATAGAAAAATTGGGCTCTTTTCATGCAGCAAGGCCAATGTCAGAATACTGGGTATAGACTGCCAATATTTGGGAATAGGGACTAGTGACATCCGAGCTGGCTCATGGCTCTATGATGCTACTACCTGACCTTTCAAAAAAACTTCGTGGTCATCAGGGAATAATTATGTACAATAAAAAGCACAGGTTTTATGTGTCACCACAACTGCAATAAGATCCAGACTAACATTTTCATGGTCCTATTATATTCCTACTTTCCCTTTTCCAGCGAGTCTGCCCTACTGTTTTGCTCTCGGTCACTGTAGATTAGTTCTGCATATTCTAGAATTTCGTTTAAATGGAGCCCTAGAGATTGAACTGTACTCTTTTGTGTCTGGCTGCTCTAATGCAGCATAATATTTTGGGGGGGTTTATCCATGTTGTGTGTTTCATTTCTTTTTAATTGCTGAGAGCTTTCGTTTGTTTGTTTTATCAGTGTACAATTTATTCACCTTCTCGTTGCTGGGTGCATGTGTGTATTTCAGCTCTTGGCTTTTATGAACAACACTCCTGCGGACATTCTTGTCTAAGTCATTGTGTGGACATAGGTTTTCATTTGTCTTGGTTACAAAGCCAAGAGTGGTATTGCTAGGTCATGGAATTTGTGTTTGACTTTATGAGAATTTTTGCCAAACTGTTTTTGCAAAGTGGTTGTATTGTTGTGCACTCCTTCTGGCAGTGTGTATGAGTCTTGGTTGCCCCACATTCTTGGAAACACTTGGGATTGTCTGTCTTTTTAATTTTAGCCATTCTTGAAGGTAGGGAATATTAGGTTGTAATGGTTTTAACTTGCCTTTCTCTAGTGACTAATGGTATTGAGTATTTTTTTTATGAGCTTTAGTCCTTTGTGTATCTTTTGGTAAAATGCCTTTTAAAATCTCTTGCTTTGTTAAAAAATTGGGTTTTTGTGTTTTATTATTGTTGTAGGGGAACTTTATATCTGGGTAAAGTTTTATCAGTTGTATGGTTGGAGGTTTAGAGGATTGAGCCTCTGGACAGGCAAGTCTCCTCCTGGCACCTTTCCCAAAGCCCCAGCTTCTCTCCCACAGTCCTCTCTGTTTACCTTCTGGCCAACAGATCGTTCCGTGACCTGAGAGATCCCACTCTTTTGTCCCCAGGTCTTCTAGTCTCCTGCTGGAACAGTCTTTACCTCTTTGTCTTGCAGTGGCTTTTTCTCATTCTTCAGTCTCAGCTTCTCAGGTCCCGTGACCCAGACCAATGGTATGCTGTCGTTAGGGGCTGTCACAGCACCTGTGCTTCCCTGTGGCAGCACAGATGACACTTTCTGGATGGTACTGGTTTTATCTGTTTGACTTGCTCACCAGGATGTAAGCTCTTTAAGGGCAGACACCTCGTCTTGTTCCTGGCATACCCTTGGATCTAGCGTAGACTCTTTGGTAACATTTAGGGAAAGCTGCACAAATGGGTAAGATGTTTGCTTAAAGCGCGTGTTTAGCATTAGTCGCTCAGTAGCAGGGTTGGGGTGCAGGGAGGGAAGTGAGTCAAGGCACTGAGAACTTGCGTAAAGATTTTAGACTCAAACATACGAGCAAGTGAATGAGAGCTGCCTGGAGAAACACAGAGCGCGAGCCAGGACAGGCACCGACTGTGGGGACAGCAGGAGGCTGCGGAGAACAGGGGACGCCCACCTGGTCTGGCGGGGTTGCCTGTGGCCACCGCGTGGTTCGTTGGAGACAGAGTCCTCAGATCTTCGGAGTTTTCAAGGCAGCCAGAAATCTAGGTGTTTTTGTGTATGTGCGTGAACTCTTTTTGCCAACAAATACACCATTCCTGTAAATAAATACCGTCTGCAGAAAATGTGGCTTTCTGACCCTTTTGTCTTCTGCGCTGGTGCAAAGGTGAGGGAGGAGTTAGAGTTACATCTGGGGCCATCTTTAACTCATTAGCGAAGTGGACTCATGGAAGCAAGACTCCTGAGCCTTGACTTATTCACTGACGAAACGGGAATATTCGTATCTGCTTCCGACATGGCTTCTTGCGGCGTTTTGGAGCACTACCGCCGAGCTGCTTAATGAAATGCGCCCTGGGTTGGAGTCTGGGACAGTGGGTAGAATAGGCCTCCTTTCCAGCAGCTTGAGCCTTTAAAGTGTGAAGGCATTTTTCAAATATTAATCCATGCCTTGCAGGGAAGCCCCACAAATTGCTCGGTTTCAGAAAAAAATGACATCCCGCCACCGAAGGTTGGCAGGCGTTCATGAGAAGGGTCACACGATTGAACTGGGATTAGATGGTTTTCAGCCTTTCATCCCCGGGGGAAAACAAGTTAAAACGATGTTAGAAGTAGAGTCCCAGGGTTGGGTGTTACACGTTTTCGTTTGGATTAATCTTATTTTCTTACTCCCTTAGGAAATCACAAATTGACGCAAATAGCGAAAGTAGTCATCAAAATCTGTGAGCATGAGGTATGTGTTTCTACAGTTGTGTTTTAAATGCATCCAGAAGGAGGGTTGGGGTGGCTGCCGTTTCCATGTGCAGAATCTCCCAGTGGGCAGCTGGAGTGGTCTTAGAACTCTTTGAGGCACAGACAGTTCCCCTCTCTTTAAGGAAAAGTAACAGCAAGAAGGAGGGGACCCCCCAAAATGCTGTAGAGCACCATCACCTTAGCCATGATCTACAGGCGTGGAAATGGCCATTTACGTTTAGCTTTGAGTCGTGGTCAAGCACTGGACGTGCCGAGTTTTCCTGGGGGCATAGATAGAGTTCGTAATTTCTTCTCCCCGAGTCGGTGGCATTGAGTCCGGTCCTTTTCAGTCTTCTTGCAGAAGATGGCTGGTTGTTGATATTATTTGGGGACAGGTCTTGACTCTTCCTCAGAGAGCAACACAGCTGTCCTGGAGTCTGTCCCTCTCGCAAATATCGGCAGTGTGACGCTGTGGATGAATCAGACCTTCTGGGGTGCGCCCCCTGAGGCTCTCGTGGTTGTGGGACAGGTAGGAGGCATACATGGTATGAAGAAGGCTTTGTGTGTGACATCCTTGTTGTAGACGCCTGAGATGGAATGGCCTTCTTGCTGTCGTGCCCATTCATTCATTCATTCATTCATTCATTCAGTGTTTTCATAAGGAAAATGTTTGGATATCTTAGGATGTGTTCATGTCTACAGATTTACATAGAGTGTTACAGTCTTCATCTTCCACTTAGTTGGAGCGTCTCCCTAGGCAACTAAACGCACAGGAAGAACAGAATTTTTCATGGCTGTTCTGATGGTTTTCTTAGCATGATTGTTAGAAACGTACCAACCAGGTCCAAGGCGGGAAACTGGCAAAGGCATTCGGTACTTTCTCATCGTATTTTGGAGAAGCTGGGGCAATTTATACAACAACCTGGAATGGACAGCTGTGGATTCTCTGCTCTTCCCAATACTGAAATTCTAGTTGGAAAAAGTGCACGTGTGGATGGCTCCCCTCGGTCAGTGTGACCAGTGCAGACGGGTGTCCACCCTGATTTTGGTTTGCCCTCCTTTGATGACAGGCAATCAGGGGCTATTTTTGATGACTGTTCATTGGCGATTTGTGTGGGTGACTTGTTCAGTCGTTTTCCCTTGGGGATTTGTTTGTTTCCTGGGATTCGGCAGCTGAAGCTGAAGCTTTATTTGGTCGGGTGCCCCGAGGTGGACTTGACTGAGCCCAGACGCTCTCTCTCCGGCATTTTGGAGTCTACCCGCCGGCAGCGCGCCGCGGCCTTGTGGACTGCGAGGCCAGGGCGGCCCTGGACCTGCTCTTCCCACTTTGTTCTGCCCAGTACGTTTCGAGGAGAAGTAGACTGGGTGGAAAGAAGTATTCCATTCCAGCCTTCCTTTTGCCATTATAATCAGAAATTATAATTATAAAATTAGTAATCAGCTGAGCACCCACTGTGTATTTGGCACCTTGCACGATGCAGGGGATAACAGTGAGCCCTGCAGCGACAGGGAGCTGTAGCAACTGTAGGACAGCGGTGAAGTGCGTGAGCTTGGAGCCCGAGTGCTTGGGTTCAAATCTCGGCCCTGCCACTTCGCCTCAGTGAGACCGAGACCGTGGTACTTGACATCTTCTTGGGGCCTCGTTTTCTTCCTCTCTGAAATAGTGGGGTCTGAATTCAGATCCTCGATGGAGCTTCCGGAGCCCTCGGTTCTAAGTCATGATGATACTTTGGAGGAATGCACTTTCTCGGGAGGGAGACGGATCGTTAGTAATAGGATTTTCAGACTGGTGTCAGTAACACAGGGCGCCGGACGGTGTGAGTGGAGATGCAGGGACACGTGGTGGCCGGAAGGCAGCGGGGAGCTCAGACAGGGATGCCGAGGCCAGACCACACCCAGCCTCGAAGGAACTGATCAGGTGTTTAAATTTCCTTGTTCGTTTCTCAGTCTTGGCGCTGCTGACATTGGAGGCCCAAGGGTTCCTTGTGGGAACTGCCCTGCACACCTGTGCACCGTAGATTCCTGTCTCCGCTGGCCCTCCGGCCCCCAAGTTCTGATAACCAGACCCGTCTCCAGACATTGCTCAGTCGCCAAACATCCCTGGAGGTGTTATACTGCCCTGGCGCAGAACCTGGGATACGAGGTGGGGGACGAGGTCAAGTGTGTGTCCGTAGAAGTGGCTCTGGCTGCTGAGTCTTCCTGGGGAGTGAACCGCAGTGGAAGCTGGGAGACATGGCTCAGAGACAGGGTGGCAGGTCGGGCTGGGTGGAGTGTTGGGGTCGGCGAGACGTGATCCCCGCGGTGTGACTTCGTTTGTCGTTGTCATCTTGCATTTCTCAAGGGCTTAGAGACGCAAGGCCCCCGGGATGCCACATTCTAACTATTTTTTTCCTTGTTTTGTTTTACAGATGAATGAGATCGAAGTTTGTCCAGAATGTTATTTAGCTGCTTGCCAAAAACGAGATAACTGGTTTTGTGAGCCTTGTGTAAGTTGTATTTTCTTTCCCTCCTTTTCTGGACCCTGTGCCCGGACGACTGGTTACCCCAGACAGCTTTCCCTTGGTGGCTTGTTTAACCAAAGTTGGGGTAAAGTTTTTAAATAATTTGTTTTACTGGTAAAGGTTACAGTAGAACCCCGGCCGGTGTGGGTCCGTGGATTGAATGCTGACCTGCAAACCGAAAGGTCGCTGGTTCGATTCCTGGTCAGGGCACATGCCTGGGTTACGGGCTGGGTCCCCAGTTGAGGGTGTGTGAGAGGCAGCCGACCCATGTTTCTCCTTCTCTTTCTCCCTCCCTTCCCCTCTCTCTAAAAATAAACAAAATAAAAATCACAAACAAAATATATCGCAGAGTGAAGGTAACTCAGGAGGAGAGCCGTCTTTGCCTGGAAGTTCATAGGTCAGAGGCAGCCTGTGAGGTGGGTTTCTTAGCCTGGGTGGACTGCAGAGTTCAGAGTGGAAGGGAGCCCCTCTGAGAGAGTGAGGGTCCGCCAGGGCAGTGCAGACAGTGGCCTGAGAAGTCCACGAGTGTGCCGCCCAGCAGTCTGTTTTAAGAGGTTGGGAACTACCTACTTCTGCCTCCCTGGATTAAGTCTGTAATCTCTTCATATACGAGGATAGGGGGTTGGTGGGGAGGAAAGTCACCCTTTCCCCGCCCACAGATCTGCATTTTCCAGACTGGTCTTCTCCGGGGAGAAGTATAATTTTGGAGGGGGCTGGCGGTGGTCGTGGAGTGTGTTGGGGGACAGGATGGGGCCAGTCAAGTTGAGAATGAGAGCACAGTTCCCGCCTCTTCCTGCCGTTGGAGTTACCACCTCGGTGGTTCAGGGTTTGAGTAGCCTCCCTGAAGGATCGGCTGATGCCGCCCTGACTGATTACAGTCTTAGTTGCAAGGTACATTTGACCCTCCCACCTAACAGAGGCTGTAAGGGTTACCATCGCTGGGTCACACCGAAGGGTGGGATCTCTTGCTTCCCGGCCACCCAGGTAACGGTGCCACAACTGGGGTTCAGGTCCAAGAGCTGTCAGTACCCAGTTCCTGATTTCACCCCTTAACCCCACTCCCACCTTCACCCCGGGCCCCTGGCCACACCCGTCCGGGGGACTGCGCTCAGGGAGACTGTGCGAAACGCCACCAACTGTTGGTGGCTTCTGTCGCCTCTACTTCACCGTACCCTCGAATCCCAAGCTTTCTGTGTGTCTCTTGCTGTCAAACGCATACAGACTCTGCATTTTGTTTTTCTCTTCCTAGAGCAACCCACACCCCTTGGTCTGGGCAAAGCTGAAGGGGTTCCCGTTCTGGCCTGCAAAAGCTCTGAGGGATAAAGACGGGCAGGTCGATGCCCGTTTTTTTGGACAACACGACAGGTGGGAGTCGAACATGGGCTGCGGACGTGTCGCGTTCATTGGGCCTTGGCTACACCAGTGGGTACAAGAGGGCGCGGAGGGGGTGGCCGCCATGTTGTCAAGTGTCCTGGCCCCAACCGGTGACCGTGCATCCAGGAGTTTAAAGGTGTTGTCCTGTGCTGTGTCAGGCCTGGGCGTGTGTGGGCCTCAGGTGTTGCAGGTGCACTAGGAAAGGATCCTGCTTTTGTTGGTGAGACCAGCATTGGAGTAAGGTTCCGTGGCTGTTGTAAATGCTGCTGTTCTTTTGAGAAAAAAAATTTTTTTTTTCTGGAGTAAATCAAAAAATAATGTTCTCAGGATCAGAGGCATTTCCCCAGATTACCAGTGAATGGATCCCCCATCGTGATGTGGGAGCCCCCCCCCGTTCCTTTTCTCTGAAACAAAAATAGGAAATTATAAGGGGCTGCTGTTTTGACAGGTGTGAGCCCTCTTCCCTGCCTTTCTGCCCCCCCCTTCCCTTTCCCTTGCTCACAGCGCAGTAAATTATGGCAGCGATTAGCAGTTCCCTTCGGAGTGTGCGCCCCCCCCCGCCCCCCGTGTGCTGGACAGGTAGACCCAGATGAGCAGCAGTTAAACACCTGAGCTCCATTTTAACAAGTGACATTATGATTCAAGAAGGCGAAAGCCCTTTGGAAGCCTCACCAAGCAGTTTGACAAAGTGGGAGCGTGTAGGGAAGGGCGGTGAAGACAATGCTAAACACACAGGGCCCGGCACAAACAACGCCCCCATTTTATTACAAAATCTCTCATTATGGAATTGTAAGCGTGTAAATCTCTGATGTAACAATATCACCCTCAAGCACACCCTGTGCCATGCTGGTGAAATGTTCAGATTAAAACCATAAGTTATCACACCCGTGGTATTATCACACCCGTGGTATTATCACCTGACCAACCACGCTCAAGCAGGCGTTGCTTCTGCCGGGTCCTGTGTTACACACACAGCCACAGGAGACACAGAACATACCGTTTATAATTCTGTGCAACACCGGAATCTCTGTGTTAACTTTTACTTGTCATCTTGCAAACCAAAGAAAAGAGCGAATCCCAAAGTAATCCACGACATCGTTCACTAGGAACCCAGGCCGAGCAGTGTCGGGAGGCGGAGTGGAAGGTAGCCGAGATGATCGTGGGTTTGCTAGGAGGTACAATATTACCCTTTATTTGCTTTTGACCTTTTTTTGTTGGAAATCTTTAAAAAAATTCATGTATTTGTTCATCCAAAGACATATGTGTTTGGTGCCTGCTGTGGGTCAGCCAGCCAGGCTGGGTGCTGGGTGCTGGGGGTTGAGGGCTGGGTGGGAAGACACCGTCTCTGCCCCTCGGAGGCTGACATGAGTGGGGAGGACAGAGACTGGACAAGTAAACAAACAGGCATGGTGGTCTCAGGGCAGGAGGTACAGGAGGTGGTAGAAGGGCCGCCGGAGAGAGCAGAGGCTCGGGCCAGGGCCCGGTAGGGGATGGGGAGGAGAGGATGAAAGGACTCTGGGTTGAGGGGTGGGGTTGGTCAGCCCGGAGATCAGCAGATCACGTGGGCTGTTGTTAGGAATCTGGCTTTGAAGAACAAGAGGAGTCGCTGGCAGGTTGTATGTCTTCCTGCCTCTTCATTAGAGCACTCAGTTGTCAACCATCTTGATGGTTCGGGATTATTCTTATTCTACAGCATAACACAGTAGGATAGACTTAGGATATAGACCCAAATGCACCCAATGTTCGCAGGCCCATGGAGTCTCTGATTCTGCTTTTAGCTGAGCCTGTCTGCACGGGCGTCTTAACTCCTACTGACGGCCATTGAAGGTGGCTTAGGGACACTGGTTGTGCTGGCTCTGTTTCCAGATGCCGCCCTCCCTGTGGGGCCCCGACATTTGTGAAAAAGACAGCAGCACCGGTCTGATGTCCGTGAGGTTTTCTCTAGTCCCCTAAGTGCCTTCTGTCCCCTCGGAGGAAACGTGCTGAGCTGCCAGGCTTGTTCTGGGTGAAGGAAGTGCATTGGGCAAGGTGTGGCGGACACCACAGTGGTGGAGGGGCAGTGTGTCGGACTTGCTGGCAGACGTGTGTCCGTTAGCCTTGGGGAGGCCGTCCCTGACTGTCGTCGGGGAAGCTGCTCCTAAAAGGGTGAGAGCCCCTCCCTCCACAGAGATGTCCTTCAAGCAGAGTGGGGCCCGTTTGCCCACAGCCTGCTCTGGGTCAGACTCAGGAATGCCACAGGGAGACTCCGGGGAGGCCACAAGGGGGGAGAACTGGGCCTTTTGCAGGGGAGCTTGCTTTGGGGTTGTAGAGCCAAAACGTGAGCCGGGACAGGTGTCAGGGAAATCGATCAAGACAGTAGAATCAGAAATACCAGAGACCATTCTGTGTTCATTGTCAAGTGAGTAAATCCTGGAGCCTGGGAAGGCTCTTCGTGCAAATCGAGGCATGTTCTGAAGGGTCCCATCTCATGCCTTTTGTCCTTTAAGAGACCCCGAGTTTTCTGTTTTATTTTGTAGACACACACAGCATTATATAAAACTATAGGAAACAATCTGTTAAATTCCTGCAGAGCTGGCGTTAGTTGAGGGCTGACTGTGCAGCAGGCACTTTTTTTGTAGAAGCTGCGTTTCTGCCCATTTTCCCGATGACAGATCTGAGGCCCAGAGCTAGAAAGTGTAACACTAGCTCCCCTGTGTGACTCTGCGGCCCCCCACGATGTTGCCCCCCCCCAGAATTTCTGTTGTTAAGCAAATCTAATTTTCCTTTGAATATTTCCTGGGCCTGCTTAAAGGAAAAGAAACAGTCACTTTCCTGAAATCACTTGCCAAGCAACTTCATTGAAGGCACTTAAGAACCTGGGAAGAAAAAGGTAAGGCCCCGATACCAGATGACAGTGACAGTGTGGGGGAAATGCAGTCGGTGACCGCAGGGCTCGTCAGCGCCTGGTGGTGCCAGGACTGGGGCATTCCCTGTGCTCTTGTGGCACCCCTCCAGGTTGGTGGTGGCAGCACTGAGGCTGTTTTAGGCCAGGGGAGTCACTTGTCTGCAGAGAGCCCCGGGGATCCTGAGTGATCCCCAGGTAGGTCCCGTCCAGCCTGGACTTGCCCACCCTGTTGTAACATGTGGAGTCCAGGTTGTTCTGATTGGCAGCAGGAGGGGCGCCTTCGGTCTCAGCAGAGAGACGGCTGTGAGCTGGAACGGAGTGGACGGGAAGCCAGTTGTGGCCAGCACTCAGAGAGCAGACCCCGCTGGGGGGTTGAGTTTTAGGGTGTGTTACTGTCCAGTTGCACGCACCCCATGCCCTGCATTCTGCCCCATGCACTTGCTTTATTTCTCCTGGGTCGCTTTTTCTTTTAAAATTAGGGAGGAGATGCCTGCCGTCTGTGAAACTTTGGGTAAAGTGTAATAGAAGAAGCTCATACTTTGTTTCTCTCTGAAACCTTGGAAGGCTTGGTAGGGTGGGGTTCAAACTCCTACACAGATAGGTGGTGCGTGCAGTGGGCTGGCTGCAGCTTCACTCCTCATGGTGCTCTTTGCTTCTATAACTGGACGCGCCAGGCTGGAGTTCATGGGCTACGAAGTACAAAAGGCTGCCTTGGAAAGCGCACTCACTCCCCACCTGGTTCCCAGCGGCAGAGTGGCTCGAAACTGTGGCCAAGTTACACCTTGGGTGTTTCGGTATTGGCTCTGCCTCCTGCAGAGCTTGCGGGTGGCGCGCCCACCTCCTGGCTGTTGCCACTCAGGGTCACTGATTCCAGAAAAGCAGCTTGTGTTCTCGTGACGGCTCTGCGGGGCACACGGGCGTGCGGGGTGTCGAAGGTGGGAAGGCAGGGCCAGCCTGGAAGTGGGGGGTGGGTCCCGGAGGGCCACGGGGCCTTTTCTCGTTATTTTCCGTGTGAATTATCTTCGCATTCAAAACCACGCTTTTCCGCTGAGGGTTATGGTTTTTCCAACATTTCCTCCTAGTCCCACGGAGAATTCCAGTTTTGAAAGAGAGAGTTTTTTTCTTGTTCTGAGTGCAAAAAAGTGAGATTGGGGAATGATTTTCTCTTGGGAGGGTGGTCTAGGATGCAGTGACTATTTTGTTATTCTCTACCAACCCAAAGCCAGCGGGGAGTTACTTTTTTTTTAATGGATTAAAATGACTAAGTCTGCCGAGCCTTATTAACGTTTTGGCTAAGTTCATGTTCATGTTCAGTCCTGATGATAAAACGTGTTTGTTACGTCAATCATTTATTAACCATTCCAACCAAGTCATTGTAGAAAAATGGACTATGCATTTAAAAATCTTGGCAAGCATGCTAGGCTAGTTTGGTTTGCATTGAGGGGAAAAAAAACAATTCTGAAAACAACTCGAATGTTCGTTCCACCGACAGACGCTTGGGTAAGGGAAATGCGGTATGTGTGCACAGTGGGACCCTCTCCCTCCTTAGCGAGTGAGCCACAGCCCGGCTGAACACCTGAGGACTTTACGCTGAGTGAACGAAGCCGGTCGTATAAGGGCAGAAACTGCATGATTCCATTCCAGTGAGGGCCCTAAAACAGCCAAATTCACACTCTCAGCGTGGAATGGTGGGTTCTGGGGGTTGGGGAAGGCCCAATGGCTAATGGCTAGTCAACGGGAGTGAAGTTTTGGTGGCACAAGATGAATGCACTCGGGAGACCTGCCTGCGGTGCAGCCCGGTGCCATAGTCGGCAGCTCCGAGCTGTCCATTGACGTGTTTGTTAAGAGGGTAGAACTCACGTCCTGTGTTCTTACCACAGTGACCTTTATGAAAGAAAAACAGTTAAAAATAAAAATCTTGGAAATGACCAAAGTGGACTTAACCTCTCTCTCTCTCTTTTTTTTTCTTTTGCCCTCCTAGGGCCTGGGTTCCGATAAATAATTGCTACCTCATGTCTAAAGAAATTCCTTTTTCTGTGAAAAAGACGAAAAGCATCTTCAACAGTGCAATGCAGGAGATGGAGGTGTACGTGGAGAACATCCGCAGGAAGTTCGGGGTTTTTAACTACTCTCCGTTCAGGACGCCCTACACGCCCAACAGCCAGTACCAGATGCTGCTCGACCCCAGCAACCCCAGCGCCGGCGCCGCCAGGATAGACAAGCAGGAGAAGGTCAAGCTCAACTTCGACATGACAGCGTCCCCCAAGATCCTGATGAGCAAGCCCATGCTGGGCGGGAGCACCGGCCGCAGGATCTCCCTGTCGGACATGCCCCGCTCCCCCATGAGCACAAACTCCTCCGTGCACACGGGCTCCGACGTGGAGCAGGACCCCGAGAAGAAGACCCTGTCGAGCCACTTCAGTGCCAGCGAGGAGTCCATGGACTTCCTGGACAAGAACACAGGTCAGCCCCGGGCGGGCGAGGGCGGGGCAGGCACCTGGGGACTCAGTGCACACCTGGCGGACCCACGCTGGCCAGCGGCACGGAGCCAGAGGGAGCTTCGTGGAGTTTCACGCCAGTGGAGTGGATTTTAATTTTAAGATGAGCAACGCAACTGAGTCCCTGCAGGCCATTTTGCAGGGAGGCGGCCAGACGTCCTTCCAGACTCAGCCCACATGCCTCTTAGTTGAATCACAGCAGCTTCCCGCCACAGCCTTTTCTGTCTCAAGCATTTTATTTTAATTGAAACATTGTTTTTCTGTCAAAACCATGCACTCACATCATTTAGTGCTTAAATATCAGAGAAACCTGCCAGGTAACTCATAATAGACTTTTCCCCACACCCTGTCCCCCTCCTTAAAGGTTGCCTTGTTGAATAGTTGTCTTGCGTTTTTGACACTTGCTGCAGTGAAGTGGGTAAGAATGAGGACACTGGTCTCGGATTGCGGTTCTGCCACCTCTCCCTCTGTGGCTCTGACTAAGGTACCTGACCACTTAGGCTGTAGTCTCCTCATCTGTAACGTGAGGATGATACAACCAGCCCCCGAGGTTCTGGGTGGATTAAGGGAATTGGAGAACAGAGAGCTCAGAATGGTGCCTGGAATAGTAAGTGCTACAAAAATGCTGACGACTCTGTTACTTCTTTCGGTGGCTGCTGATCAAACACCTGTGTGCATTAGGAGGGGTGCTGGCATTGAGGGGTGCTGTGCTGGCTGCGTGTGCACAACGTAAGAGTGCCTTGAATTCTTTCTACCCGGATGTAATTTGGTTGTATGTTAAATACTTAAGAACTCTGTTGCTTCCACGAGGAAGTAGGTTTACTCTTGTTTTTCTTGAAACATGGCCTTCACTGTTTGTTCTTTGTTATTCTACCTTTGAGACACATAGGCCCAGAGCAGCTTCCCCGCTAAGCAGGCTGGTGAAGGCAGCCAACCCTCAGGCTCTGTGCTGGGGAGACCCCAGGGCACATGCCCCATCTCGGGCTCCAGGCCATGGTTGCCAGGCAGGACTGTGAACTCATGGTTTTCACATCTTCACACTCTTCCAGAGACCTGAGACATCTGTATTTATTACACGAAAATGTTTTTATATAAAATCTCCCATCATTAAATGTCAACTCAAAATACCTCAGAATGCTTTTCAGAATGGATGAAGCACACGTACAGGTCGGACTGCTGGTCTTCAACTTCCTGCCAAAGCAATGACCTTGGGTAGCTTTTCAGACTCCCTCCCTCACCCCGCACCCTCCGCTCAGAATCCTAAGGAGGAGGCCTCACTTCTTCAGGAGACCCCAGAAGGCCCCGGAGGATGAAATGATAGGGCTCCGTTCATTGTGAGCTCCATCCCACCCACGTGGGTTGTGTTGGTTCTCCTTGGTTCTGGTTGGTCGGCTACATTCAGGTGCTGCTTGTAGCTGTTCCCCAATTGGCTATAGGTGGAGCGGAGAGAGCCAAGTAGAACCAATGGCTTCTGGTTCTTGGAAATAAAGGCTGCAGCCCCTCCAGTTCCGATCCTAGGCAGGTGGACCTAGGCACTCACGGCTGGGTTTTAGTGCTTTGTCCCAGAATGGCGCAACTTTGGTGGACGGTGTCAGAAAAGCTTCCCTTTGTGTCTGACCAGAGTCCTTAAAAGCTTAGTCAGATTCCAACACTCGAGTCCATCTGACGGAACACGGTGGGTGCGTTGGCACCCAGACTCCCCAGCCCGCGCGTCCCCACGGGGCGCACGCTGTTGAGAAAGTGCTGTAACCTGGGCAGTGACCCCTGGCGGGAGTCACTGTCGCCTGAACTTTCATTGCCTGCCCACCCAGAACCGCCTGTTTCATTAACATTCTTTACACATTCAACCTCCAATGTAGCTTCATCTTAAGCTTAGATAAGTGAAGTTACAGCTCATGTGTTTAAATTGCTCGTGTTTTTTTTTTTTTTTTCTAAAATCCATGAAATGAGTACCTAACTTGTAAACTAACAACACCTGTGAACCCCCAGTTGCTTCTCTGGCTCCGTATTTCAGGATGCATAGTTTCATGTGATTACGAGAACACCTACCATGTGTCGGTCGGCTGTCACTTCTTTCTTCTCCCCTGGGGAAGTACAGAGGTTTGAGATGACATTAGAAGTCCTGACAAAATTCCCTCCTCATTGGAGCAGGTTTTAGGTGCTTTAGTAGACTTGGAAGTTCCTTTCTCCAAATATAATCCCCTTGTTGGTATGTGCCCGGGTCATTTGGCTAATCATGAGTACAGGAAGAGAAGGTAATACTTACAGTTGTTTAATCTTACAAATTGCCCTCTTTTCTGGTAGGAGCGGGTAGTAAATATTTTAGGCTTTGTATGTTTCATGAACTGTTAATCCTTTTGATTATTTCCCCCCAGCCATTGAAAAAAAGTGAAAGAAATACCCTTTTTAACTTGCAGGCCGTACAAGAACAGGTGATGTGCTAAGTCTGGCCCAGGGGTCGGTTTGCCGGCCTCTATTACAGACTAAGAGACGCTGAACCAGTCTCCCCATTTATGGATGGCAAGTTGAGGTTCCTCTGAGGAGTGTGGGGAGGTGCCCAGGGTCCCACCCCTGCCTCCTGAATCTAGACTTCCTTTTCGCTGCACTCTACTGCCCTCTGCTGTTTGCAGTGATGACAGCATTTAGTGGAAGCCGGGGAGCATTTATTGAAATGCCTCCCATACTCAGACAAGACTGTGATTTATCCAAAATTGGGTTTAAAATAAAAAAGAATAACGCCCTAGGAACAGAAAAACCAGATTAGTTAAAACAATGAAAAATTTGTAACCAGCAACATAAAATTTAAATTACATAAAACCTTTGTGGGAGTTTAGAAACCCTTCTTTTTCGGGGGCAGGGGAATTGAGGAGCTCAGATTCGTGTGTCTACAATCCTTAGAACTGGGTTTCTCCTTCTAAGAAACACTTTGTGTCCTGGAATCCTGTTCTCTTAATGTTCAGAATGGTTTATCTTTTCGGTGGCTTTTCTCATTCCCCCTTTACGTAGACCTCCTGGCCAGAATGGATGCCTTTGTCCGTACTTGTTTGTGGGATCTCAATTTCAGTCGTTAATAATGTGTCAGGGTCCTGGGGCCTGGTGGTCCCCACCCTGTGAGCTAACGTCCTTCAGTCGTATAGCTTAGGGTTACTGCTTAGAGAGCAGGGACACATTTCCTTTTTATTGTGAGATCATCGTGTGCTTGTTGTAGAATAATTGTTATTTACAAAGGCTGAAGCCACACAGTGCCCCACCTCCCCCAGTCAGCCCTTAGTTCCAGCACTTTCCCCATGTTGGTTTATCAGCCATATTATTAATGGGATGACTAGGCCGGCGTGGGAAGCAGTGAGGCTGGGAGTGGGAGGGACCGGGGTGAACTGAAGCAGAAATACACCCTGATCGTGACCGAGGACTCGTACATACGTGTGCGCGCGTGACACTTCCCAAAGCAAGTGCCACTCTGAGCCGAGCTTTTCTACAGGGCATGGGGGCTCCCGGTTGTAGCCAAGTGGGAACGGCAGCTTGGTGTTGCCAGATTTCTGGTTGTTAAGGGAAGTCTCAAATATTTTTTTAGAAGGACTTTTGTTTGTTGGCTCAAATTAAAACACAAGACAAAACCATGTGGGACAACAGGGGCACCTGTGGACCTCTCGATTCCCGGATTACCTGTTGGCCGTGTCCGGTGTAGCCTGTTTAGCATTTTATTTTTGTTTGTTTTTACTTAACCTTGTATTCTGCATACTTTTTCAAGTTAGTGAAGAACCCTTCAACACAGCGTTTCTGTCCCATCATAGATGGTCTGGGGACGTTCTGCCACCAAGACTTGTGTAGGATAGGACTTTGAACATGCAGGTCATTTCCAGGGTTTTGTAAGGGGAGGAAATGTAGCCTGAACCAGCGAGCGCCTCCTCCACCTCCAACCTCCTCCCCCCACCCCATCTAGGGGGCTGGGGTGCACAGAAAGGAAGGGGCGCTTTTTTCTAATTCAATTCTAAGACTCATGTTCCATGTAGTCATAACGGGGCTTAGCACAGGCTAGGTTTTTGTAAATGTAGATAATAAATGACGTGTTTTAGCCCCACACTGGTGAATTGCACATCAAAGTATAAAATCTTACTAAATTATTGGTGACTTCAAAGGCTATTAGTTCTTCCTTTGGGCAAGATTTATGGCCTTATAAAAGGATTAGCATTCATTTCCAAGCTTAATTGAAACAAGCATTTCCCAATGTCTTTTTTTTTTTTTGCTTTTGAAAATGTTTAGAATGATTTAAAACAGGGTTTCTCAATCGTGGCACCGTTGCCACGTGGGGCCCGGTCACTCTGCTGCAGGCCTGTCCTGTGCACCGTGGGACGCTTAGCCACATCTCTGGCCTCCGCCCACGAGAGGCTAGTCGCACACCTGCTCACACTTGCACTTGCGACAGCCACACACGTCTCCAGACAGTGTCACGTGGTCCCTGGAGGGCACAGTCACCCCTCCGTTCCCCGTGGAGGACCGCTGATTTAATCATGTACCCTGCTTTTGAATTCCAGCCCTGACGACATTCTGATGGCTTCACGTTTATCTTTGAAGCTGTTCAATATTTACCTTTAATTTTGTCTCGGGGTTTTTTTTTTTTTTGGAGCCTAAAATATTCCTTTTAAATTTTAACACTATAGAATTAATAGCAGATCATTTCTACCCTGAGAGGTGACAACTGTTAAGAATTGGCTGTGCCTTCAGATTTTTAGACGTGTAATCACCTGGGGTAATACTTCCTTTTTGTGATGGAAGGAGATCGTGCTCAGCTTTCTGCTTCTTTCAGTTTAGCAGTGTTTCTGTGACTTCTCGTGATGCCCGAGCATATAATTCTAGTCGTCGGCAGCACGTAGATTGTACGTGACTACGTCAGATGTCGGGATCGTGACTGAATTTTGGGAGACATTACTTGGGGAAGAAACCTGGTTTTATGAAGTAGTATGAATGCGGTTTGTTTTCCTTTTTTCCTCACCCTTTCATTGCTGTGAGGGAGAGAAGCACCAATGTGGGAGAGAAACATGGATTGGCCGCCTCCCCCTTGTACCTGGATTAGGCACCTCGGGCTCCTGGACTGGGGGGGAGTCGAACCCGCAGCCCTTAGGTTACGGGTAATGCTCCGACCAACCGAGCCCTACCGGCCAGGATGCAGATGTTTTAAGTGTGCACACACTGATTTGTTTTCTTCATGTAATGTGCCCTTGCTTGGTTTTTGCTGCCCAATGCTGGTGGCATTTTGGCCAGCCTGGTATGTTATGTTTCTCTAGATGGCCACAGAGAAGCCAGAATATTCCCTGCTTTGCACATGAAGATTCGTTGACTTTCTAAGAACCACTTTTTATGCCTTGAGGGCCATATTGCCCCATTGAGAACACGTGGACCGGGGTGATAGCTGGGCAGGTGGCGGTCGGCGGGGCGTTCGGGGTGTATGTTTGAAGGGGTGTGCAGAGGCCTTGCTGCAAAGCTGGCTGAGTCCGAGGCAGGAGGAACCGGAGTGGCCTTCGACAGCGTGGTGGTCAGTCGTACCACTGGCAGATGTCGAGGCCGGTAGGAGGTCTGTCTCGAATCGGGTAGGCGGGGCAGTGCCACTCAGTGACGGGCACGGGCCACGGTCCTAGATGCCTGCGAGGGTGGCCCTGCCCTTTGCCGGCCAGGTGGAGAGCGATCCAGACCTTGTCTCCATGGGAAACCAGTGTTCTCCTGTCCCCTCTGCTTTTGCCATATGCAGGAGCTATGTTAAAAACCGAAAACCTAAAGCGTGTTTATTAAACCTCAACACTGATATTTTCTTAACAGTGGAAATTTTTTTATTGATCTCATGTTCGAAACAAAGGAACTTTAGATGTCTGTGAAATTTATGGCTTGTTTCTGTTATTTATTTTGACCCCCCCCGCACACACACACACACACACACACACACACACACAGAATTGTAAGGATAATGATCTTACAGGTGACATTGCTGCCATCCTCTGCAGGACCACAAGTCGGGCAGGGCTCTGTAGGTCACCTCCCAGCCTCTCCTTTTCCTTTTTAAACTCGGTCTGTTAAGCGTGGAACGGTGAGGTCTCTTGGGATGGTATCTTCACATATTTTTTGTTCTTGTTCCCTTTACAATTAGGTTTCCTTGTCATAGTTCCTTGCAGTCCCCAGCTGTGCTCTCCTAGCCGGCTAAAAAAGACCCCCCCCCTCTGCTGGACATGCTGGTTAGTTTGTTTTCAAGAATGTAACTAGAAAAGCCTGGTTTACGGTCCTCAGGGGGGGAGTACATTGTACCCCCATTTTCAGCCCCTGCAGATCTCTTGGGAGCAGGTAAAACGTAAATGAATGCATTATTAAAAAATATCAACCCAAACATCTTAATACTAAAGATTTTATTGGAAACATTTAAGCCTTTTAAACGGTCTCTAATGTCATTTACTTGTGTTTCTTTGGGTACCAGGCCCTTTGGTTCTGCTTATTGTCACACTAGAGGTTATAGTTACCCAGGGGCTCACCAGTAATGGTGACAGCCCCCTGGGTGAGAGAAGGTTGTGTGCCTGCCGGGCCAGGCGATTGTTCGTCCACAGGGCAACACTGACATCACTTGGTATTCAAAAAAGCCTAATTCTCGAGGCGCAGCTGCTTCGTCCCTGTGTGGACCGATCGACCTCAGCACCGCGGATGCTCGGGGCCAAAGATAATTCTTGGTTCCGAGAGGCCGCCCTGTGCGCTCTCGGACATTAGCGGCATCCCTGGTGCCAGTAGCACGCTGTCCCCTAGTCTGGCAACCAAACTGTCTTCAGGCCAAGGTGCTGTGCGCCCTTGAGGGGCAAAAATCTCCCTGGAATGAGGACCATGGGTTTAGGCGTTTGAAACCAGAGTCCTAGAGGTTAATGGGGGTAGAAAATGAGGCTACACCAAGATCATACAATACAAGAGCACTTAGTAGGTGCCAGGCACTGTTCAGGTGACTAATTTATTTGACCGTTACAACTGGATGAGAGAGGGTACTTTTATCCTCCCCTCGTATTGTGTTGCTAGTATTCCTCTCTGTTGCTGCCGGCAAAGGAGATTCAGAGACACTGGGTAACTTACCCAGGGTCGCCCAGCGAGTCAGCAGCACAGCGGAGGGGTGTGCCCCATCCGGCTCCCAGGTCCACACTTGAGTCCACTTCTCGCTGCATCTCGGGTCTTCCCCACCCTGTTACCTTCTACGGTGTTGGCAGGTCCTGGTGCTGGACATGCGGTTACCTCTGAATATTGAGTAGCCAAGCTGGGGTACACGTCTTGGTGCCTGACACCTTTGCAACAACAGTTTTTCCTTAAGGACCAGACCACCTCAGAGTCCGTGCTTCCTGCACGTCTAAGGAGAGCTGGCTGTGCCGTCGCCCATCACACATTCAATAACAGGGCTGTCCCAATAACGTCCAAGGGCAGGATCTGCAGGGTGTCTAGGAGGCTCTAGGTGGCACCCCATTCAGTTAGATGGCTTGGTTTCTGTTCTTCCTCCCCCTGCCCAGTGGATGAGGGTCAGGGGGCAGCGTGGAAGTAGGTGTAAGGTATTTATCAAAGCCTCGTGGATGGATCTGGCCCTCCACCCTCATGTCCAAGTTTGAAACACAATAAAAGGGGGGAGATAAGTTACCAACATCTTGTCACTCCATCTGGGGCTGCATTTGCTTACTTCCTTCGGCAGGGCAGAGCCTTTGAAATGGGAATCCCAAGCTCTCCTGAGGGGTCAGGTCGCCCCCGGCAGGTGCAGTGGCCGTGGGAGCCGGCCCCCGCGTCTCCCGCAAACGGATGGATGCCATTTGTAAGCCTGGCTCTGGCCTCTGCATCTGGACTGTGGTGGGGGCTGGTTTAATCGCTATTTATTTTGAGATTTACACCCGTGAATGGGCCAAGCTAATTTCAGTGGCGGCTTAGCCGATTTGTCCTAGAGCTTTGTGTCTGAGAGAATAACCGGGGAGGCCTCCTTCCTTTGTGGCTTTAACGGTGTAACATTGGGTGAAAGCCCTTTGCTTTGAAAGAAGCGGCCAGCCCTGCCTGCTCCACCCCATCTGTGCTGCTCTGGCCTGTGGCAATCAAATAAATTTCTCTACTTCGCCCCCCACCCCCACAAGTTTTATTTGTCTGTTTCTTTGTAAACCTGTCTTTTAACAAGTGCCGAACTCTTTTCAGCATCACCGGCCTCCACGAAGACAGGACAAGCGGGGAGTTTATCTGGCAGCCCGAAACCTTTCTCTCCTCAAGCGTCCACACCAATCACGACGAAAGCGGACAAGATGTCCACCACCGGGAGCATCCTGAATCTTAACCTGGGTCAGTTGGAATATTTGGAAGTCTCTTTCTCGGGCAGCTGTGAATATTTTTACAAGTTGCGATGTCCTCTTTTGTGTGTGGTTCTTGAGCTCTGTGGTTCTCGAACTCTGAACTCTCCGAGCCAACTGTTTAAAAGGTACAGTGGATGAACGTGCAGAGAGACCAATAAAAGGAACAAGTTAAGGGGTTTCCTGGGGCCCGGAGACATGCGAAGCTGTTTATCATGGAGTAACGTAGGCCAGTGTTTACGACCTTACTTGCCCCTTGACCATAGTAACCCAGTTCTCGTCCATGTAAAAATATATACTTGAAGTTTTGTATGTATACTTGACATATATCAAGTTACTATGAATCCGTCTTTGTTTTTTCTCTGTGCAGTATATTCTGATATTAGTGTTTCCTCAGTTCTTTTATTTATTTTTTCTTTTAAAGCACTAGTTTAGGCCGAAGTCATCTGCAAAAGTTGGCACTGGAAATGTTGATTCCGTAACTTTATGAAGTTACTGTTTTGTTGATTCCTTCCACCAAGGCTCCCAGTTTTGATTGAGCATCTGTTATGTGCTATGTACTGCTTCAGGCATTGGGCAGAGTGTGGTGAGTGGGGCCCTGCTGTTAGTTAGAGAGCTTGGGTTCTAGGAAGGGGCGGAGAATAATCAAGGTAGATAAACAGGACAGCCGGCGCCAGGAGGGAAAATGGGAAAATAGGATAAGGAAGGGGTGGGGAGGAGAGGCAGTGGGAGGGGCAGGGAAAGCCTGTTTGAGTGGAGAGTTGCATGACAGGAAAAAAAGAGCCAGGCCTGGACCAGGCGGAAGAACATTCTAGAAGGAACAAGAACTTTACAGGCTCTAGGGTAAGGAAGAACTGTGTGTTACAGGAGCGGCAAGGAGGCCCAGGCAGTGGGTCCTGGTGGGGGGCGCAGAGGTGAGGCCTTGAGGCCAGAGAGCACGGGGCCCCTGAGGACCCTGGTTTGAGCAGTGGAGGTCTGTGAACTGACTGAGCATATCAGAGGGGCCTCTTGGCTGCTGGGTGGAGACAGGCCTCTGTCCACTTGGGCAGTTCCTCTCTCCCTCCAAATGACACTTCTGGTGTCTGGAGACGTTGGTAGTCGTCACCACTGGGGGTGGGGGCTGCTGCTGGCATCCAGTGGGCAGAAGCGGGGGGATGCAGTAGAACACCCTGCAGTGCACCGAGGAGTCCCCCCCACCAGAAATTCTCGGGTTGTCCAGTAACCATGGTGACGGATTGGCTGTGGCAGGAGGAATAGGGACGAAGAGTGCAGTTTTAGGTTCCCAGTGTTGGGTGCCCCGAGGCCAGGTCAAGGCAGGAGGTATACTCTGATTTGCACACAGGGGTGAGTTCAGATCAGCGGCTCTCACAGCCCTGGGGCCAGGGCGGGGTGGCCATGCCTGCCTCTGGCAGTGAGTGATGAGTGTTTGCAGGTCAGTAATGCAAACCCATCCTGCCTGCCCCTTTCTGCCCCCGCCCCCCACGGCAGTAGTGCTGAGGTTGAGATCTGGGTCTAGGGCAGCAAGGGAGAGTAAGGGCCCTGGGGCACTTGAGTGAGGAGGGTAGTCAGCACTGGGGGTTGAAAAGGGGCAGGGGACAGAGACAGAGCCACGCCCTGGAGCCTCCTGTACAGGGTTTGGGGAAGGAGCTTGAGCAGGAATGCAGAGCCTCTGGGGTCAGGCAGCGCCTTCCTCTGCTTCCTCTTGTCCTGCAGTGTCCTTTTCAGACGGAGAAACTGAGGTCTGGAGAGCGGTTTCTGGTGCTCAGCCTGGCAGAGCCCGACGGTGGTGGGGTTGGAGCAAGCCTGTGTCTCCCCGGAGGCCAGTACCTGGGACCCCCTGCGTCCCCTGTCTGCGTAGCTCCAATGTGATCGGACAGTCAGGGGGTGGCTTTAGGGGCTCCAGTCCGCACTGACTGTGGGCATTGCTCATTTGAACGAAAGGGGGGCCCGTTTGCTGCCCCGGGAAATAGTGGCCGTTCTCAGCGGTGTGGTTTGTGCTCATGCCCTCCTCCCGCCTCCGCACCCCGGAAAGAACGGCCGTGGGCAGGTGTTCTCACGGTCCCATTTCCTCTTTGCCAGCCATGCGTGGCAAGAATAGCTCCTTCCCTAAGCCAGGTGGTCCTGGGGCATCTTCGTGACACTGTGGTCTCTCGGTTTGTCTTGAGCCATGGTGGGAGTGCACGGTCTCTTCCTGGCCTGTGTTTGGGTGGTGGGCACAGTGGAACCCGGGCCTCAGGACCTCCCCCTGGCTCTTCCCGTGCCGGGACACGTGCCTCCTTTTGTTGGCGGAACACAAGCACTGGGAATGCGGGCATCTTAGGGCTGGAGTTTCAGTTACCTTCCGGAAAACGGGGCAGATAGGGACCAGTGAAAAGTGTCAGTGATGGGTAGAGAAAAATGGGGAAGTGGAGGGACCTGCTAAATAATTCTCATGCATCCCAGGGATGGGGCGTGTGCTTTATGGGGCTTGGTTATGCCTGACATCTCTGTAAATACTGTGAGGAGACAGAAATGAGGCAGCGCTAGTGATAATAATGGCACCGTTATATCTAACAAAATATTCAATGTCAAAGTTACGTGGGAAAAGGCAGAATTATGGAGATGGCAAACAGATCAGTGATGGCCAGGGGTGGGGGGTGAGTGATGGTTTTACAGATCGCAAAGGGATGTCATGTCCGTGGCAGACGGAATTGTCCTGCATGCTGTTTGTGGTGCTGGTTACCGAATCCGTGCGGGTGTAAAAACTCAGTGAATTTTGAAATCTACTAAAAGGATACAATACCCTTTGAGGTCGGTGATAGCCCCGTTTCACAGAAGTGGGAACCGAGGCCCAGAGAAGGCAGGTTACCCTCCCTGTGTCACATGTGGTTTGGCGCACAGTAGGGCCTGTTTTGCTCTGTAGCCTGGGCTCTTAACCGGGTGCAGGAGCTGAACTGCTTCAGGGCAGGGCCCTGCCGTGACTTGCGTGTGCTCTTGAAGTAGTTGGTCCCCCGTGTAGGGGTCACAGGTAAGGTAATGTCCTGAATGAGGGTCACTCGGAGGGCGAAGTGCTTTTTTAAAGGAAGCAGCTCCCACTACTTGAACCGTGTTGTCAGTCAGATACTAAATTTTCAAGAGAAACAGAAAGAAAACCAGGTTTTTATGTGAATTCTCCTAGTTTTTATTTTATTTTATTTTAAAAGCCTCACCTGAGGATATGTTGTATTGATGTTAGAGAGCAAAGGAAAGTGGAGTGGAGGGAAAGAGAGAGGGAAGGAAGAAATCAATCGCTGGGTTGCCTCCTGTGTGCGCTCCGACCTGGGATCGAACCTTCAGCCTGCAGGTGAATGGGATGGCACTTCAACCCACTGAGCCACCTGACCAGGACAAATGCGCCTAGATTTTAAAATTTGGCCTCAATTTTATCAAAAAAATAAAAGCTCTACTTAGGCCAAATAAATAGAACTTGAAAATACACAAACCAGCCCCTGGGTCATCTGTTGGTTACCAAATTACTCTTGAAGTTAATTCCAGTGTGTGAGCGAGGGGACGGTTTCTGCAGAGGCCACCCTGCCCCTGCCCCGGCTGCTGGCCCACGGCCCCGCATTGGCTGTCCTGGGCCTCTTCTCTCAGCTCCAGACAAGGAGCCGGACCCTGGAGGGTTGCCGTGGCCCCTCCTGTGACTCTGTGGTGATTCTAAGCCATAAATAAGACTGAGTTGGTGAGGCTGGGACAGAGGAGGAGGCCCTGGTTCTTCTAGACTCCGGTTTGCGTTCTCTGCGAATTCTCACCTCCTCGTATCTCCCAGAGGGTGCCTGCTTCGGGCGGAACACACGCAGCCGCAGTTCAGCCCTCCTAGTCGTCACAGAGATGTGCCTCGCTGGTCTCAGAGCAGTGCAGTGTGGTCTGAACGGAGCCCTTGGCCTTGCTTTTTCGGCTGCTGGGAGGCGTTCTTTCTTCCTCTGTGGGACCTTGGGCGACAGGCCTTCTTCCAGAGCCTGGGTGCACAGCAGGGGCCCTGGGCTCCCAGAGATTGTGTTGATTTTTTTTTTTAAATCCTCGCCCAAGGATACATTTACTGACTTGAGATACCCTGCCGCCCTTCGCCACAGAGAGTGGGGGGGAGAGAAATGTTGATTGGCTCCCTCTTGTGCCCATCTGCACTGCGACTGAACCGACACGCAGGCGTGTGCCCTGAATGGGGATCAAACCCGCGGCCCTTTGGTGCACAGGATGCTGGTCTCATCCATTGATCCACCCAGGCTAGGACTTGATTTTTTTTTTTTTGAAACAGTGAATCAGGTGAGGAAGATCTCTGTGTGGCTTGGTGGACACGAGAGCATCTGCCAGGGTCTCTCATCTGAATATTCTTCCCTCGAAGGAGCTGCCGTTTCCTGGCTCCTGGAAGCCCATCCATCATGGTCTGCCGACAGCTTTTGAACAAAGAAAAATGTTTTTAACCAGAAAAGAAGTGGTTGTATTTCTCTTTCAAAAAGTTTATTTGTTCTTTGTAAGTCATGAATGCCCACGGTAAAAGAAATTTCAAAGTACAGAACGGTGTCTAATGAGAACCGACGCTGGCTGCCACCTCCGATTACCTGCCTCTGTGCCGCCTCCTCACAGGTGACCTTGACCTCGGTCACCTGTTGTTTGCCTCTGTGGAGAGCTCTCCATATATACCAGTGGTTCTCCACCTGGGGGACGTTGCTTCCCCAGGGACATTGCTTCCCCGGGGACATGGGGCAGTGTCTGGGGACATTTTTATTGCCACAACCGGAATGTGGGTGCTACTGGCATCTGGTGGGTGGAGGCCAGGGTTACTCTGCACAGGACGGCCCCCCCCTCCACCAGCTCCCCCAGCAAAGACCTAACAAGCCCCCAGCACCCCCACGTATGTGTATCTGTGTTCCACATCCTTCTTTCCTCCCCCATGCCAGTGCTAGCGTGTTCTGCCCTGGTGCCTTCTTCACTGAACAGGCTGCCTGTCCAGACCTGTGTCCAGGGTTCTGCCGCTGTGTTCCGTCAGCAGCTGCCTTTTGATCCATCTCAAGGCGAACTGTGATTTATTTATCTAGGCACCTTATTTACAGACTCGAGGTTGTGGTCCACTTTTTTGCTGTCGAAACAGCTGCCAGTAAAGACCCTTTTACCCACATGGGAGTGTGTGTCCATCGGGTACATTCCCAGAAGTGGAGCCTCAGGTCGGAGGGCGCGGACAGTTGACATTTGGAGAGTTACTGCCCTGTTACCCTCTCGAGGGGCCGTTCTGATTGGTGCTGCCTCCAGAAATGTGAGATGGTGCCTCTTCCTCCAGCGTGGGTATTTTCTTTAATCCCTGGTTTCCATTTATAGCCTGAGCTGTCTTCCTATTAACTGAGAAGTTCACGGTGTTGGCAGTGAGCGTGGATTCTGGAGATGTTCCTGATATAGAAGAGCAGGGGTGGAAAGAGTCCTGATGAGCTACTGTGAGCTAAATCAGACAGCAGCCCCTCTCTTCTCCTGGTGGAGGAGGAGAGTCAAGTGCAGCTGAAAGTTCCAGAAAGATAATTGCATCTGGCTACACCGAAGGTGTGTCCCCAGGGACCCGATCCCAGCCCCCTGGCTTCTGGTGGTCTCCTGTTAGAATACATATGACAGTAGCTTCTTGACTTGAGGGACCTTATTTTGTGAAATGCGGTGCTTTTCCTTCTTTTCCCTCCTCTTGATTGTGAGGTGTAGGTCTCTTTCTCTGAACCCTGAGGTTTGGAAGAGTGGTTCTGTTCACACGGATACGCCAGGGTTCGGGCAGATCACGAGGAGTTTTCTTGACTCACGTTGGTTGAATCCAGGGCTGTCAACCGCAGCAGCATTAGATCACCCAGGGCACTTTGGGAAGGCCGATGGCCGGGTTGCACCTCTGGCTAGTTAATCCAGAGTCTCCAGGGATGATGGCTAAGGCATTAAGGTTAAAAAACAATTCTACAGATAGTTTCTGTGTGCAGCCATGTTAGCAGTCCCCGGGACTCCCACAGTACAGGGGATGGCAGATTTTACAGCCTGCACACCAAAGCTGGCCCCCGACCTGCTTTTGTAAATAAAGTTTTATTGGAACACAGCCACGTGCATTTCTTCACAAAGTGTTTCTTTTCCCTTTGGCACCAGGTCCTGTGTGGCCCACAGAGCCTAGTTTAATCTCTGGCCTCTTCCAGAAAAGTCTGCTGATCCCTGGTATAGTAGTTGTGTTTTTAAATAGCTGCTATTTGGAGGCTGCTAACCACACAAGAATGTCATTGAGGATGTTGGTGAGCATATCACTTGGGTAGCAGCCCTCTCCCCAACCCCGCTTCATGGGAAGTATTTTTGTTGAGATACTTAAAATAAGATTTTATTCATTTATTTTTAGAGGGGAAGGAAAGAGAGGGTGAGAAATGTTGATCTGTGAGAGAAACATTGATCGGCTGCCTCTTGCATGCTCCCAGCTGGGGACCTGGCCCACAACCCTGGGCATGTCCCCCCGCTGGGAATCGAACCAGCAGCCTTTCAGTGCACAGGCTGGCACTGAATCCACTGAGCCACACAAGCAAGGGTGAGATACTTCTTTTCTAACTTGAAAAGGCTGTCTTTTTTTCTCTGGAATCTAATATTCTCCTCATTTTTAAAAGATGTTTTGATTTGAGAGAGAGAAAGGTAGAAACATCGACTTGCTATTTCACTTACATATTCATTGGTTGCTTCTTGTATGTGCCCTGACTGGGAACTGAACCCACAACGTGGCATTTCAGGGCAACGCTCTAACCAGCTAAGCTCCCAGGCCCCGGCTGCTTCCTCATTTCTGAGAGCAGACGTGACCAGACAGATGTCACGCTTGGTGCTTAACCGTCGAAGCCCTCAAGTTCTGCTTGTGCTGTCTTTCATCGGAGCAGCGCCTGTTCCCCGGGTCTCCTCCTACTGGTTGTTTTGTCTCTGCCTCCCTCTGTCTTCTCAGAAGGTGCTTTTCCAGGAAATTGGAACAGACATCCCTCCCCTCCAAAGTGGCTGTCCACGCACCCACGAACACACGTGCAAGCCCATGCACACTTGTGTGCACACACCCTGATACAGTTTTCAGAGCCTTTTTTTGAATGATAAGGATGCTGTCTCTGTTTCCTTGGACCGCTCACTTCTGGAACCTTCCTGGCAATCCATCCCAGAGTGTGTGTTTTGGGAAAAGGCCCATCCTAATCTTATCTCAGTGGAGGCCTCCTGATGGCGAAAGAACCAAGTCTGAGCAAGTTGTTGCTTTGGTCGCCTGTGTGTTGGGTGGTCCCTTTACAGGAACCAGTCTGGGCGGCAGCGTAGGGAAGAGCCCCGTTCCTGGGGGAAGGAGAAGGTTCGTGAGTCCCGTCTGTCGGAAAACAAAACCAGAGAAAGTGAAGGCTTTCAGTCTGTCTCCTGGGCCTCTTCAGCAGCCTGGGGGCGGAGGTGGCCCCTTTGGGAGTGTCGCAGGAAGACAGCGGGAAGTCGGGGTGTGAGCTCTCAGCTGGTGCAAACAGGCTCAAAGGTCGCTTCTCCTCTCTGTCCTTGTTTCGGCGCCATGTGCTTTCTGACTAACATTCTGGGATCGGTGCGGGTAGGGCAGATGCCCACGTCCTCTGCCTGGAGTCGGCTGCAGGGGGTGCCCGAGGTTTGCAGGAGATGCCCACGTCCTCTGCCTGGAGTCGGCTGCAGGGGGTGCCCGAGGTTTGCAGGAGATGCCCACGTCCTCTGCCTGGAGTCGGCTGCAGGGGGTGCCCGAGGTTTGCAGGCAGGATGAGAGACTGAGGGACGGTGCTCCTGCCCGCAAGGTCTCTCATCGCTTCCTGGGCCTTCGCAGCCTCCTCCCTTTTGTCCCCTTCTTATATTTCTGGGACCCTGGAGGAGGCAGCTGAGGAAGTAGATGAGGAGGTAAGGGAGAAATTCAAGAAATGTGCACTCATGGAATCTGGTCCAGTTGGTCCCATGAAGCGCCCAAGGCAGAAATTGGCAGGGGGTGGGGAGGAGGGGCGGGACCTTGGCCGGTGTCCACAGGGGCCCTCTCCTGGGATTAGGTTGAGGACCTTGGGCTCCTCTTCCCTGAGCGAGAAGACACAGATTTAATATCCAGGGCTAGTCTGTTAACTTCCCTCGGTGCTGGGAGCCAAAGGGAGGCACAGCGGGCTTGCTGGAAGGAAGGTCTGCCTCTTCTCTTTTCCCTTCCTTTTTCATTTGAGCTCCAGATGAGGTTGAAGAGGAATGAAGTCTCCCTGGTAAATGAGGAGCCGGGGGCCCCAGTTATCCTCTGAGGGGCTCGGCCGTCTCTCTTGGATACAATCCCTCGCTGACGTGGGCCTGGAGTTCGAAGCATGCTCCGGCCAGACGTGGTGTCCGTTTATCTGCTAAAATTGAGATGGAGCATATTACTGTAACCTTTGGCTTTCGAGAGTCCCTGATGACATGCCGAGTTCCGCAGACAGCCGTCTGGCTGGGATCGTGCATTTTAAATGCCGAAGGCGACCCAGGCGATTGTTTAGTAGACTGAGCAAACCTGCCAAGTGTTTTCCTTGGGGCTGTTATCTCCAAGTCAGCCCGTGTTACTGGGTAGATGACGTTGGAACTAGTGGCAAAAATGTTTCAGGTTCTTTTCCCTCCCATGTTCTGAAACGTGTGTTTGCGAGGACACTGTGTTGCGAGAGCTGCGTGTCCGCCCCTCCAGTGCCCGGTCTGACGAGGGGATGGCCGTGTCTTCCAGACCGCAGCAAGGCCGAGATGGACCTGAAGCAGCTGAGCGAGTCTGTGCAGCAGCAGTCGGCCCCCGTGGCGCTCATCTCTCCCAAGCGGCAGATTCGCAGCCGCTTCCAGCTGAATCTCGACAAGACGATAGAGAGTTGCAAAGCACAATTAGGTACGTCCTTGGTTTGCTTTCACTGTCATCAGTGTCGTCATCGTCATCAGTAGGGATGCCGCCCAGGTGAGATCAGAGCTGGGTCCTGGCTGCCTGAACCTAGAGTTGCTTATTCCATTAGAGTGTATTGCCGCTCAGGGCAGCGTGTTTCAGATTTGCTAGCTAATAGTTCAGACGGGCCCTTCGAGTCCCTCAGAGCTCATTCCTCGGTGGGGGCAGCCTGCAGACCTGAGGTGCAGGTGGTCAGAGGCTTCAGAAGCAGAAAGGCCCTCCGGCGTCTGCCCTCTGCACACCCTGTCGGTACACGTCAGTGTCTTGACATCAGGATTGACTATGTCCCCAGGTGTCCAACACAAGCCTCCTCCTCCAGGCTGGGCCCGCCCCACCCGGCAGACCCATCCTGCTTCTGTGTCTGTTGCCTCCCTTCCTCTGCCCCGTGCTGCCTGCAATCGTGCTGCCTACCTAAACCCTGTCCCGAAGGCTGAGCTCAGTGTCACCTCCTCCAGGAAGCCTCCCCTGACTGCTCTCCCCATCTGCCCACCACCTTTGATACAGTATTGCTCAGAAGCAACAGTCGTCCGTTTGTGTGGCAGGGTATCCTTCCCTCCCAACTAGACTGGAAGTTCACTGAGGGCAGGGAGGTTGCCTTATCAAGATTTGCCTTCTCCAAGGTGCTGGGTCTTGTGCACAATGTAATGCTCTGGAATATTGGTTGAATAAGTAAATAAAACCAGGAGGGCATTTATAAAGAAATGGGATGATTGGGCCTCGGGGGAGAGAGAGCCACTCCACAGTGAGACTGATGTGTCGGGGCTGCTCTGGACCTTTGGGTAAGGAAGGAGCTGCAGTTTGGCGTCCCCTGGGCTGTCGGAGGAGTTTGGTTGGGACACTGACTGGCATGGATGAAGCCTTGCAGTCCATTTAAATATCCCTCTTGGGTCCTTTCATGCAGGTGGTCCAACTCCTTGGTTTGTTATTATCGTGAATGAGAATTTTAATATGTCCATTTACTGGGTGCTTCTGATGATGCACCAGGCACTTTGCTCAGTAAGCGCTGGGCAGAGATTGTCCTGGGAGGTTGATGACTGTTATCAGGTGCATTTTGCAGATGAAGAAACTGAGGCTCAGAGAGGTAGGTCCCTCGTTCAGGGTTACACAGCTCATGAAACAGTGGAGCAGGATTCCAATTCCTGTCCTTTGGGCTCCAGTACCCAAGCTTTTCCTGTCACATGTGTGGTCACATGGCCATGCTCGCCTTACTTATGCCTGACCAGTAGCATAAGCCTAAGGATTCAGAAATTATACGAGATCTGAGTTTTTGTATTTTGACATCTCCTCTTTTTCTTTTTTAAAGATTTTATTTATTTACTTTTAGAGAGAGGAAAAGGGAGAGAGAAAGAGAGGGAATCATCACTCTGTGGTTGCCTCTCACACGCCCCCTACTGGGGACCTGGCCTGCAACCCAGGCATGGGCCCTGACTGGGAATTGAACCAGCGGTCGCTGGTTTGCAGGCCAGCGCTCAGTCCACTGAGCCACACCGGCCAGGGCTGACATCTCCTCTTTTTGATTGAGCCCTGGTGGAGGCGGATGTAATTCCCCAGTGATTCTGCTGGTGTCCAGCGCCCAGGGCTGTTTGTGGCTCTTTCACTGAGTCTGGGTCAGGCCGTCATTGCTCTAGAATGAGCACAGGACAACGCGTTGACTGGGATTTTCTCTCTTCAAAATTTTAGGCTATAGTAGTTAGTATTCACCTGCTGCCTGATGACGCTCCTGGCTAGTAGCAGGAGACAGAAGTGGGTTAGATGGAACCACCACGAGAGATACGCTTTTGCCTGTGATCATTTGTGTGTATATGAAACACCTGCTATTTTTATTTTGTCTTTTCCCCCTTTTGATAGACACGTGGAAATACGTGTCTTCCCCCTTGGCTCCACTGTCAGTGGAGGAATAGCGCAAACACAGTGGCCGTCTGCTCTCTGTCAGTGCGGAGGGTGAGGGGGTGGGCCGCTGGGGCACCTGCAGTCCGTGCTGCCCCACCTGCCGGGGCCGGTGGCTTCTCCACCCAGGCCGGCCGTTGCCTCTCAGGCCTGTTTGTTACCCACAGTGGGACTCTCAGTAGATGCCCCCCGTTTTTGATTTCCGTGTGACATTTCCTGCTTTTTGAATTGGGCAACAAGTGCCAAATTCACAAACAAGAGGCAACAACAAACTGCCCTGTGAGCCAGGCCATGGCTCCCCAAGTCAGATGGGTCGGCCGGTTGGGTGTGGCTTGTGGCCTGTGAGTTTGCAACCTCAGCTTGAGACTTGGGTTTAACCTCTTCGCACCCTGGACGGACAGGTGACGGGCTCTCATGCTTTGGAATGCTTGAGAACAGTATAGGGGTGAGTCTGGAGCCCAGGGTTTGGGCCCTGCCCCCGTCTTGGTTTTCTTTGTGTCCTAGGACAAATGATTGCTCTGGGCCTCTATTTTCTACTCTGTAAAATGGATCAGTTTTCGTAGTTTATCTCTGGTGTTCCCTCCCATCCCTCCCATTTTCCATGTCCCAGTCACCAATATTGCAAAGATTAAGCTCCAGATAAATTTAAAATTTGGGTTGTCTGGTCCCATGTTGTCTTGGAAACTATGTCCAAATACAAGTGGCATTTGTCACCTGTCTTCAGGGCACTTTGAGTTCACTGCTAACCCCACCAGGCCAGTTGTGATACGACTTGAAATGTTTTTTTTTTATTTCCAGCGTTTGGCGTGGAAAATGTTTGCGTGTTTGGTCCTGCTCTTTATTTTGTGACTACGCCACATGCTGGGTTTTCTCTTTGACTTTAGGCATAAATGAGATCTCAGAAGATGTTTACACGGCCGTAGAGCACAGCGATTCGGAGGATTCCGAGAAGTCAGAGAGCAGTGACAGCGAGTACATCAGTGATGACGAGCAGAAGTCCAAGAATGAGCCAGAAGACACAGAAGACAAGGAGGGGAGTCGGATGGACAAGGAGCTCTCGGCTGCCAAAAAAAAGCCCAAACCGACAAACCCAGTGGAGATTAAAGAGGAGCTGAAAAGTCCGTCTCCACCCAGCGAGAAAGCAGACCCAGACTCAGCCAAGGGAAAGGCGAGTCCTCAGCCCGAGAAGGACGTGGCGGAGAAGGCCAATCCCTCGCCGCATCCCACGAAAGACAAACTGAAGGGAAAGGAGGAGATGGACTCCCCAACAGTCCATTTGGGCCTGGACTCTGACTCAGAGAGTGAACTTGTCATAGATTTAGGAGAAGACCATTCTGGGCGGGAGGGTCGGAAAAATAAGAAGGAACCCAAAGAACCATCTCCCAAGCAGGATGGTAAGTGACTAAACTGGTTTCTGCTTTCTCGATTTGGTTTCGAATGCCAGCTTTTATTGGTATGATCAACGCTCTGTGACCTGGAACTTTGATTGGCTCAAAGTCACTTAGCTGGTTATCTGATAGGACCAGGACTTAAACTGGGCCCACCCACCTCTTTACCTGCTCAGTACCCAGCGTGGTGGATTCTGAGCACAGAAAAATAAAAGTCTCCTAGAAAGTAGTAGTTGCTCCTGGTAGTCAAGGCATTTTTAGCCCGAGTAATTTTCCCCCCAATACATCCATTTATTTTCCTAAAGCGTTTGGCAGCATTTAGACATTTGACAAGGCTGAAATTGTTAGAAGCCTTCACGTTGAAGGTCTTGATGAGTTTAGCTTCCCTTTCTTCCCTTCATGCTGGCCAGGCATCTCGAAGTGCATCTTCTTTTTTTTTAAAAGATTTTATTTATTTATCTTAGAGGGAGAGGGAGGAGATAGGGAGAGAGACATCAGTGCATGGTTGCCTCTCGTGGGTCCCCTGCTGGGAACTGGCCTGCAACCCAGGCATGTGCCCTGACTGGGAATCCAACTGCCATACTCTGGTTCGCAGGCCCGCACTCAATCCACTGAGCTACACCAGCCAGGGCTCGAAGTGCATCTTCTTAACAGAATACGAGACCATTGTCGAGAGTTGGGGCACCAGAGTAGTGGGTGGGTGCTCCTTGGGGTGCTGGAGATCCGGGGGGCGTGACACAGTGTGCACTGGAATCGTTATTCCCCCACGTTGGCATTCGGTCTACGCAATTCCAGGGTTTTTCAGCACTGGCACTACTGACATTTTGTGCTGTGTAGTTCTTTGTCCTGCGCATTGGAGGACGTTTAGCAGCATCCCTGGCCTCTCCCCACTGGATGCTGGTGGCAGCCGCCCAGCAGTGGCAGTCCCAAGTGTCATCGCCCAGCATGTCGGCCCAGCCCCGGAAGGAACATGTGAACGATCGGAAGGGTAGCCTTCCCACTGACATGGCAGTCAGCACGTTTTCCAGTTGGTTCGCCAAACGGGTAGCGAGGGGATTCTGACAGGCCCAAGAAAGGTCATACAGAATTGAGTTGAGGGCCCCAAAAGGCATTGCCTGAGGACAGACTAAAGGTTACAGCCATAAAACCTTATGTACTTGGTGAGTAACTTAAGGGATCACTAGGTTTAAGTTTTGGCTCTGCCTAGTTTCTGATAGGAGCTAACTTCCGAACTGTACCCTTGAGTAAGATGGGGTTCTTTGTCCCCGGGATTTCTTAGTCTGGCTGCTTCAAAGGCAAGTCAGGGACGGGCCTCGAGAATCTTTGCTCTGTGGTCATGTCAGCCTGAGCTGCACCATCCTGCAGTCACCCGGACAGGCCAGAATGTCCCCATGTGGTGCGATGGAGGGGGAGAAGGCAGTTGAGTGGGACTGAGGGACAGGGAGATCACCACACCCTCCTGCGTCCTCTCTGAGCTTCAGGGATGGTCTCTGAAAAAGGCAGTCATGTTGCGGGACCTCCTCTGATGTTTCAGAGAACAGTAGGAGGAGCATTTGTTCCATTTGAGGAACTGTTGGGTGCAGATGGCAGTGCTCCTATGAAGGGATATATTTATACCAATTCTTTCCTTCTGGAACAAATCTTTTGATTATTGGTTTTATGCCCCTTCTTCTTCCAGAAAGGACTTAGGACAGATTGTCAAGAATACTTAATCATGAGACAAAATGCAAACGAAATCAGAATAGTGGGAAGTTTGGGGAAAGTTTATTATGTGCGGAAATACATACTATTTCAGTCTTGCTGTGAGATTCCCAGCAGTCAAAGCAAAAAGGGAAACACAGTCCCTTAAAAAATGTTACATGTTCCAAAAAAGAAAAAACATTTAGTTACTTAAACAAAATAGAGCTCTTCCTTGCACTACTCGCTGAGGGAAATTTCTCCAGGAGACCCTAGGTGGTGGATGAAGCTGAAGATGATTCTACAACATAATTTAGTTAGATCAGATTCCTAGGGTTTGGGGCAAAACCAACCAGTCTTAAATCCATAACCCCTGATGGTGGTTTGGGTCTTGAAGAACTGGCTTCATGTTGGACTCCACAGTAGAGAGAGCACCTTTTCGACAAAGTGTTGTTACTTAATACATTTAATTAAGCGAAGGGCATTTTGGAATGTGCTGTGGTGACCCCCAGCTTACCTTCAGCGAGGACTGGAGCCTATATGTAGAATATGAATCTTCAGATAGTAAAACAGCTTCTACAGCCGGTGATCTCAGAACAGAGGCAGACGGAGCTCGCTTGGAGACCTTTGCTATGCCCATAACACCAGCAGTTTCTGTCTTCCTCTTAAAAGGCCCTCCTTTATGCACAAGGCAGTGACCGAACTCGGGAATAAGTAGATTAACTGGATGGGACAGCTTCTATTGTGCTGGCCTTAAACTCACCCTTTGTTGGGCTATAGGCAATTGATCAGACACTCTTGAATTTCTAGGACCAGTGGAATTTTCCATAGCCCTTTTTCTTCTCTGAAAACCATCAGAACCTCCTAGACTGGAAGTTAAAATGCTTCAGTGAATGAAACCCCCAAAGAGCGCTTTGAGGATGGGTGTGGTTGCGGACGTGCTGTAGCCTGTGTGCAAAGCCCGCTGTTTGCTGTTACACATCCGGAGAGAAAAAGACCTTTTCATGGTTGTCCTTTGGGCCGGGCGGTAGGCGGGTGGTGGTGGGTAGAGTGTGGGATTAGGCTAGTTAATCAGCAATAACAATATGTTTTTTTGTAATTTGGCAGAAGATGGGGAGGCACTGAAGGTACTTCTGCAGGTTGAAAACCCTGCAGGTCAGCTGTCCCACGTGGCCTCTTAGAAGGGTCAAGTTCAAAGCCACCTGTTTCCCTGGAAGGGGCAGGGACTCTATCCAGTGTTTGGCAGGTTGTCCTGGGAAAGGATGAGGGCTCCTCACTGGAAGAAGAGCTCCCCTTCCAGCCCCGCCCAATGCTCTTGCCCTTGAACTTGGCTGAGCTCTCCTCTCCAGAGGAGCAGGAACACCAGCCAAATGTGAGAGCCACCAAGAAAGTCCCCATTTAGAAAAGTCAGCTTATCTCCTCTCACTTTCCTTGGCAGTCTAAACCACACAGCTCACCAAAAAGTTGTCCTTGGGGCCATCCAGCACATGTCTTTTCCAGGGAAAATAAATCTAAAAAAGACTGACGGAATCCTCCCTAAAGGAGTTTGATGTTCAGGCACATTGTCTAAGAGCGGGGTGCTGACTTGTACCTTGTGTGTGGGGGGTCCTCGGGGCCTCCTCTCTGCGGGGAGGCTCCCCTCACCGGGGGCCGGGACCCCTGCAGTGATAAATGATACCCCCTATACAGAGGAGCCCCCCCACTGTGCTCAGTGCTTCTGGCCCTCACCTGCCTTCCAGCTGCTCCCCACTTACCCGAAATGCAGTGCTTCCTCTTCCCGAACACGTCGTGGCTGATGCTGTTCCCCCCGCAAATTCTCACCCCTGCCTGTTGAAATCCTACCCTCTCCCCCCATAGTCCACCTCTTCCCAGAAGACGTCGACCCTAAAGCGGCTTGTTTCAGATTTGAGGCATTCACGTTTGTTATGTTTGCCATTCCCAAGTCTTGCTTATATAATTATTGAGTCCATTTTTATTTGAAGCAACCTACTCTTAAAAAAAAATAAATCCATTTTAGTCTTAAACTTGACCGCCACACAGTAGGCAAACCGGTGTTGTGTGCCGTGCCTCACTATGTGGCAGGAACAAATACAGTCAGAACAAGAACAAGGTCCCCCGGTTCTAGATAAATCCCATCGTGTTGGCAGGTTCTGGTCTTGGGGTGGAGCCCCCGTCAGTGTTAGGTGTCGGGGCTCCGTCTCACTGAGACGTTGTCCCGGAGGGCCTCAGACGAGGTGAAAAGGGTACTGTTGTTTCTGAATGGCTCGATGTTCTTCTCCGCTTTGGCCCTTGAGAAGCCATCTGGGTCTTCCCGGTCTTTGCATTGTCTAGCCAGAGGGTTTCTCTTCATGCCTGGATTAATTCAGCTGGGTCTTTCTCAAAGTGGTGACCCGATTCTAACTCTGGAAAACGGGACACTTGGCAGTGATTCCATTTATCCACGGCCCCATCTGCGAGTTGACGGACAGCTTGAGGGCAGGGGCTGGGCCTGGTTCACCCGTGTCCCGCAGGGTTCTCGACCTTGTTGACTTGGGCCTCAGATGTGAGCAGGCCCCCTCATCCAAGGAGGCCTGTGCTCTGAAATAGAAGGGGTGAACTGAGCAAGGCCAGGCTGTGCTCCTGGGGGCGTCCTGGAGAACTGAACTTGCTGGCCTGGAGACCCTGTGGGCAGACCTGAGTCACGTGACTTTCTGTTTGTTTTTTTTCCATGCATCTGCTTTAGTGGTAACTAAAGCTCCGCCACTGACCACTACGGCAGGCAGCCAGTCTCCCCCTGAAACGCCGGTCCTCACCCGCTCGTCCTCCCAAACTCCCACGGCTGGGGTCACGGCCACCACCAGCACCACGTCCACGGTCACGGCCCCGGCCGCCACCGCCACAGGAAGCCCAGTGAAAAAGCAGAGGCCGCTCTTACCGAAGGAGACTGCCCCGGCCGTGCAGCGGGTCGTGTGGAACGCATCAAGTAAGTTTCAAACGTCCTCCCAAAAGTGGCACATGCAGAAGATGCAGCGCCAGCAGCAGCCGCCGCAAAGCCAGCAGCAGCAGCCTCAGTCTTCCCAGGGGACGAGATATCAGACCAGACAGGCTGTGAAAGGTACCGAGCCCCTGTTCTGTTCTCCGTGGCACCCGCGCCCTTTTTGCCACATTGACAGGAGAAAAAAAAAACAAAACCAAAACCATTGTTTTATTTTTTTTTTTTTCAGTTCCCGTTTGTTTCCCGGCTGTCACATGCTGAAGGCCGTACACATTCCACTTGGCATTATTTTTAAAAATTGTTTTGCAGCTCGATTTTTTACTTTTATTTAAAATTATTTTTTATTTTACAAACAATACGTTGTATGGATTCTCCTTAGAAAGGGGGCAAGATATTTATGCAAAAGTCTACTGTCCCAATGGACTGACTAATCTTTCATTTTATGCTTCTCCCTTTCTCAGCGGCCGCTGTTAACTATAAAACTTTTTTTATGCATGTATGCATATATATTTACACATATATATGACTCTTCATGAAAATACTACTTTTTTTTCCTTTTTTCTTTTTTAAAACATAAAAATGGTACCATTTTTTTCACCCATCAGCATGTTTTGGAGATCCGTCCATGTCAGTACATAATAGCTCTACCTTATCCTTTTTGACTGCTGCGTAGTATTCCATAGTTTATCGAGAGTGTTCCCCTACTGATGGGCATTTAGGTTGCTTCCAGTTTTTTCCTGTTGTAAGCAGTACTGCATCGCATTCCTTCATGTAAGTTTCCCGTGCACACCTGCGAACCTGTTGGCGTTGTTTTGGAAAGACTACAGCGAGTAGTTGGTAGCAGAGGCTACCCTAGTGACTAGGGATGAGCCCCATCCATAAGAAGAGCCAGCCTTGGGCACTAGTGGCTGAAGTCACAGAATCGAAATATTCTCCAGCCAGGCAGGGGGCGTCCTCGGGAGCTGTTGAAGGGGCAGAGTGCTCATTGGACAGGTACCTGTGTGCCAGCTTCGTGAGCACTGTCATAGGTCTCATTCCACGGGGACCCTGCATCGGGACCCTCAGAAGTTGGGCTACTTGATGGAAACTCTGGTGTCGCGAGTGCACCCTCGTGGGAGTGCACAGGGCAGGAGGGTGGAAGGCAGCCAGAGCTTGCGTTGGGCCTCCCAGTACAAGCCTTCTAAGACTGGGGAGCAGGAAGGCCAGAAAGTTGGGCAGGCAGAGTTGGGGTCCGCTGGATTGACCTCCCAGTTTACAGAGTTGGCGGGCCGGAGCCTAGGGGTTGTGAGGTTGGGATGAACCGCCCCTGGTTTCTCTCTTCTTACCCCGTTGGCATGACAACCTCCCCAGGGGAATTCAGGAAAGGAGAGGCTCGCTGATGGTACAGTGCTCAGCGGCCACATGTCTGTGTCAGATCAACCAAGCTGGGCACTGGTGGCAGCAGTAAGGACAGGATTTGCATCAGTAATTTACTATTGCAATAGGGGAAAGTGTCCACTGTGAAGCGAAGTTACCCGGATGTGTACAGAGGTGACTGGGCGTTTAAAGGGAGGAGGGGGGTAAGGAGGGGGCCAGTGGGGACTCAGGAGGGTTGGGGAAGTGGAAGCGTACACACAGTGGGAGATGGGGTGGCCCATGTGAAACCCTTTGGGGTTTGCTAATCATGTCTTTTGAAGTCAGGTTTCTTCCTTCCTATAGACAATGGGAGAGAGGTGCCCTACCTTTAGGTATCGGCTGGGACAGTCGATTGTTCTGGGGGCCTTGAGTTTTTCTCAGGCAGACACTTTAGGGGAGGGGGCTGGGGTCATCCATGGGGTGTTGCCTCGAGCTGTACAAAGCTATGTTAGTGTTTGTTCGAGCCTTTCTAGGTCAAGTTTGTGGGTTAATCAAGAAAGGGCTCAGAGGAACCCGGCCAGCGTTTGGTTAAGGAGAGAGTCCCTGTCACTTGAAAGTAGAAGTGCTCATGGGGGTGTCTGGCGGGTCGCCCTCCCTCACCCCCGCTTCGTGCTGGGAACGGGCCCTGCCCGCGGCCGTGGGGTGACCGGGGCCCCTTGTCTCCCTAGCTGTCCAGCAGAAGGAGATCACACAGAGCCCGTCCACCTCCACCATCACCCTGGTGACCACCACACAGTCGTCGCCCCTGGTCACCAGCTCGGGCTCCACGAGCACCCTGGCGTCTTCGGTCAGCGCAGACCTCCCCATCGCCACTGCCTCCGCCGACGTCGCTGCGGACATCGCCAAGTACACCAGCAAAGTGAGTGCCAGCAGGTGCCTGGGCGTGGGAGGCGTCGGCCCGGCTTCCTGCTGAGGACCAGTCGGGTCGCGACCTTGTGGGTCTTAGGGGCTGTTTAGGAGGTAAGACCCTGTTTTGACTGAGGAGCTCCAAGACTAAATGCTAATGAACGCTTGGGTCTGAAGTTGCATCTAAGCAGGGAAATGTAGAATAGACTTGAGTTTTCCTCCAGGAGGGCCTAGGTTCTAACGTCAGGGCCCAGCAGGAAGCTGGGTGACGTGGCCTCCAAGTGACCCTTGAGAATTGAAGTCGCTTGTTATGGACAGATTTTCCCTCGGCGCTGGAACAAGTTTCTGTTCCTTCAGTTAACAACAGACTCGGGCTGGTGGGTTTTGCCGTTAGAAGCCACGTGGAACCAAAGCGACAGAGGCTTAAACGTGAGACTTGACAAGGTGTGACATCTGTGCCCAGAGTTTTGCAGGAGCCGGAACGGGCTCCCCGCCTCCCCCAGGGCTGGCCCACCCCCTGGGGCACAGACCCCTTGTTTAGGGGTTGGTGGGCAGGCTTCCCATTGGGTGCGCACTTGTGGTGCTTTCTCTTTCTCTCTTCGTTTGCCAGCTGCTTTTATGCTCTCGGTGGATTTGGGCAAGTAGGAGTCGGAGGTCTCAGTGACACCCGAGGGTACATGCTCTGGAGGGACGCAGGGGAGTTTCAGTGGACCGCTCGGGTCCGAGCGGGCCCGGCACCCAGGAGGCGTTCGGTGTGTGAGTGCGTGTAGTCCCTAATTCCTCGTCATGGTGTCTGAGTGTCAGTAACTATTCATTGTAGCTGATGAGTAATAATCTGTGAAGTACTTTGTAAATTATGAAGTAGGTAATGATAATTTACTCTGTAAGAGTGAGCAAATTACCAGTGAGTTACTAATAAGTAAACCCTTACGTTTCTAGAGAGAATAGGTGAAAATACTTAAAAATAGTTGTCTCTTTTTTGTGAAAAAAGGAGTTGCTCTTATGTTATGTTAAATGTGGACTTTTTTTTTTAGTGGATGGTGGGAAATGCACACCCATCCGCACATTGTTTTTTTACCAGTGAGTTTTTGATGGCAGTGGAAAAATATTTCTGTCAAGGTGTATGAGTCACCTGTTGCAGTATGACAATCACTACCAAGTGTGGCAGCTCCAAACGTCGCAAGCCTGTTAACTCCCAGTTTCTGTGGGGCGGCTCAGCTGGGCCCGCGGCCTCCCAGCCTCTGGTGAGTGCAGTCCTGATATGTCCTAGGGCTGGAGTTTCTCCCAGAGATTGACAGGGGAGGGACCCACTTCCTCAGTGTCTGTTCCCAGCTCCTGTGGCCTGGAGGCCACCACGCTTATTCAGTGCTGCGTGGGCCTCCTCCACGTGGCAGCTTGCTTCATCAAAGGCAGTGAGAGACAAAGCCAGCCATCTTCATCTTCATCTTCATCATCATATTCGGTCACCGGGCCAGCCATCTTGGAGTCTGTCTGTTGCTGAGGTGACACCAGCAATGGCTTAGGTTGGCTCGGCTTCCACTTTGGGCCACACACTGTTCTGAGCACTTTTTGCATGTCGCTCACTCAGTCTTACTGGCAAGTTGATGAGGTCAGTGCTGTTTCGCCCCCATTTTATAGATGAGAAAACCGAGGCCCTGTGAGGCTGTGCATCTTGGGTAGGGTCACATAGGCAGTGAATGGTGTCAGCCAGGATGCAGGCAGTGGCTTGGAGCCGGTGTGTGAATTCTCACGCAGCCTGCTGACTGCGGGTGTCTGCACGTGGCCACACACGGATTGTGCTTTTGCACGTGGCTTTTTAAAGTGATCCTACTTAAGGTGCAGTATCTAAAGAGATCATCAGAACCTTGTCTTGGGGATAACGTTGTCTCTTCTTCAGAATGTCTCTCGCCCTTTTGAATAAAATGCATGCATTGTGATAGAGCCCCCAAACTTCATAAAAGGACAGTTCAAATGCCACTTATTTTGGGCCGTCCTTGAGTTTTGTCCTTAACCCTTCCGCACCTGAACTGGTATTGACCTCATATTATCACTTAAATTACATTTCATTTGCATGGGCCTAAAATTAAGTCTGCCCTCACCAGATACTGTTCCCCGGCCACTCCTTTTGTCTGAGGGGGAGATTCTCATCAAAGTGTTAAAGGTAGGATGGTGCCAAACCGAGACTTACGGTCCGCAGTTTCCAGGGAATTGAAAGGGGACTCAGTTTTTCATTACTAATTTAGGAAGATGCCTGGAATTGCCTAAATGGTCTCTCGTTCTGCTTGTAATTGACCCTGGCATCACCTTCCATCCATCTGGTCCAAGCGCCCAGATGAGAAAGCAGCCCTCCATCAGGCCGGCGGTTCTTACCCGGCTGGCCCCCGCCGCCTCCCCTTCTGCTTGAGTGGGACTGAGGCGTGGACTTTCTGGTAGCCGTGTTCTTTGGTGTAAAGAAAATGAATGTGGTAACGTATTTTGGGAGCTGACGGGCTTCCCTGTCTCCAAGGTAACCCCGAGCCGAAGACCCAGACCTGTGTGTTTTGGCAGAAGGGTGTTCGCTCTTCGTTAACACCGAGCTCTTGGCTTGTATTAGGGAGTGAGAGTGAAAGTCAGTCCACAGATCCGTGATTTCTTTAGGCTGGAAGGCAGCTGTGGTATTAGGAATAAGTACTGAATTTCGTCCATTTTTCTAAGGTTTTTATGTGAAGCAGTTTTATTTTCACGTTTTAAATCAACGTGGATGGTGTGGTGGGGCGCGGGGGTGCCGTGCAGAATGACCCCACGTACAGCAACACAAAGCTCCGAGGTTTTCCTGGCGGTGCCCCAGAGCCGGGATCTCCACAGATACTTTGTTCCTCTCCCCCCTCCCATTTTTGAGTGAAGTTGGGGTTACCCTTTTGGAGGCTGGCAGCATTTTCCTAATCACACGCTCTCTTGGGTTTATGTTTCTGTAAAGATCAGAGGAGCACCTAGTCTGTGGTGGGTGCCGAGCTGCAGTCTGTGCCTGGTTTTCTCGTTCAACCCTGTGCATGCCCTGCAAGGGGGTACTGTCATCGTCCTTGCTTCCTGCATGGGGACATGGAAGCTCCGAGAGGGACGTGGGCGGTACGAGGTGTTGCTGGGCGCAGATCTCTGGCACTGGATGTGAGGGTGCTCTTTGTCCTGTCTTCAGGCTGCAGAACTCGGGAGACTCAGCTGCAGCCAGGCTGGGCCTGAGCCCTGGTGTGTTGTTCTGTCCTCTCCCCTTTCCCTGTGATGTGGGTGGAGTCAGTGGGCACAGGGGGGAGGAGGTAGGAGAGAACTTCATCCTGCAAACACAGTGCTTGTCCGATTCCTGGGTGTCCGCTGTGGACCTGGGCTGATGCCGTCACACACTGGCTGGTCCCCTTGGGGGTCGGTTAGTTAAGGAACTGGAGGGGCAGTGCCCTGCTCACGGGCCATAAAATCATGCACTAGCTACATCCACACAGTGGATTATATATTTTTGGTCCATAAAAAGGCACGAAGTATTGATACGACCGTGAGTCCAGTGTGCTACGTCCAAGAAGCCAGTTGGAGGAGGGCCGTGTGTTGTGGGGCTCCATGTACCTGCCATTTCTGGATTAAGGTGATCTGCGCAGACAGAAAGCGGATCCGCGGATCTCGGGAGTGCGGGGCGGTGGGCATCTTGGGGCGTGTGAAAGCTAAGGGGGAGTGGATGGTCTCTTTGGGGTAATGAAAAGCTCCTGAAATTGACTGTGGTGATAGAAGCAGAACTGTGAATATGCTAAGAGCCATTAAATTGTACACCGTAAACAGGTGAATTGTAGGGGGGTACCAGTGATACATCAATTTAAAAAATGATTTTTTTTGAAGGGGAAAGAGTTGAAAAACAACAGCAACACAACAAAACAGTTTCTCCCTTGAACCCACTGTGCTGGCCACTCCAAACACAATTGAGGGCCAAGTTCAGCCTCTTCAGTCTAGCCTGTGGCTGGAGGAACTAGCTTTATGGCTGTGAAATTTTTCTGGAATATGAGGCAGGGAACTTGTGGGTGGTCCCTATTCTGGTTTATATCAGGGTTTCTCTGACTCAGTACTCGTGACATTTTGGACTGGGTAATTCTTTGTCGCGGGGGCTGCTCCGTGCTCCCTAGGTGTTTAGGGCATCATTGGCTTCTACCCAGTAGATGCCAGTAGCGACCCCCCCCCCCCCCCACCATGAGCTCCCAGTCGAGACCCGCTGCTTTGTACAGGTGGGGTTTAGACGTGTGTCATCTGGAAAAGGGTGAATTGTTTCTCTTTCTGTCTTTCAGATGATGGACGCCATAAAAGGAACCATGACAGAAATCTACAACGACCTTTCTAAAAACACTACTGGAAGCACCATAGCCGAGGTCAGAGAGGACACGTTCACTCACTTTTGCTACAAGTCTTTCTTGGATGCTGTGGGCGGCCCATGAAAACATGTCTCCGAACACCCTCCAGGGTCCTGGGCCCGGCGCCAGGCTTGCTCGGCTGATGGGGTTTGCCTGGGAGAGTGTTTCTCCGTTGCACCCGCAGCCTGCTGTCCTGTGGGGACACACCCTACTGTGTGTGCCCAGTTCCTTTTTTGTAAAACGGCCCCGACCAGAGCCTGAGTTAATACCGGTGACACTGGGGACCCGGTCTTTCTGCTCCACGTCACACTGGCTCCCTGATCTTCTCTGGAAGATGGGACTTTTTTTTATACAAGTGACCCTTGTTGCCTAAGAACCTGTGTCCTGAGTCTCCACTGGTTATGTGACGGAGACGTGTAGGAATTTCGTGCAAAACCACTGACCGACGAGGGCCCGGCAGGGATGGGCTGGCTCTCGGGTGAGGCAGAGAGAATCTTCAGGGAGGCGCCCTGAGAAGCCTGGAGCCAGGAGCAGTATGAGTAGGCAGGCTTGTGTGAGAGGCTTCACTGGGGATCAGTGGATTGATAGTTTTGCTAATACGATGCTCTTTCAGACAATGTCGGGACATCCAGCAAGAGGGGGAAATGTTGTTAAAGTATTTAGGAGAACCCCCCCAATACTTCATGTTGTTCATTATTTTTTAACATGTAGTCATGTTTTATGTTTCAGTTACAGTTGATTGTATACCCCAGTGATTAGACATTTTATAACTTACTGTTCGTCCCAGTAAATCTTGTGCCCGTCTGACCCCATACGTAGTTATTATAGTATATTGACTGTATTCCCTGTGCTCTACTGTACATCCTGTGACTTGTAACAATCAGTTTGTATTTCTGTATTTTTTTTTTAAAGATTTTGTTTATTTATCTTTAGAGGGGAAAGGAAGGGGAGAGGGAGAGAAACATCAATGTGTGGTTGCCTCTCGTGCGTCCCCTGCTGGGAACTGGCCTGCAACCCAGGCATGTGCCCTGACTGGGAATCGAACTGCGGTTGTTTGGTTCACAGGCCCGCACTCAGTCCACTGAGCCATACCAGCCAGGGCCAATTTGTATTTCTTAATCCCTTCACCTTTTTCACTCATTCTCCTCCCATTTGGCAACTGACAGAATGTTCTCTGTATCTGTGAGTCTGTTTCTGTTCTGCTTGTTTGTTGATTTTGTTTTTTAGATTCAGTTGTTTTCAGACATGTATCTATTATCATTTTCATTGTTAATACGAACAATATTGTTTTGACTTTTTTTTCCTTCTCCTTAAAGAAGACCATTTAACATTTCATGTAATTCTGGTTTGGTGATGATGAACTCCTTTAGCATTTTCTTGTCTGGGAAGCTCTTTAACTGTCCTTTGATTCTAAATGATAGCTGTGCTGGGTAGAGTGATCTTGGCTGTAGGTCCCTACTTCTTGTGGTTTTGAGTATTTCTTGCCAGTCTCTCCTTGCCTGCAAAGTTTCTATTTGAGAGATCAGCTGACAGTCTTATGGGAACTCCTTTGTAGGTAGCCAGTTGCTTTTCTCTTGCTACTTTCAAGATTCTTTCTTTCTCTTTAGGCTTTTGCATTTTAATTATGATATGTATTAGCTTGGACCTCTTTGGGTTTATCTTGTCTGGGACCCTCTGAGCTTCCTGGAGTGGTATGTCTATTTCTTTGACCAAGTTAGGGAAGTTTTCTATTACTATTTTTTTTACTTAGGTTTTCAATTTCTTGCAGCCAGTGAGAGGTCGAGCTTCTGGGATCTCTTGGTGAACAGCACCCAGACCTGCCTTTAAAGTCTGACTCTGACTCTTTCGTTCCAGATTCGCAGGCTGAGGATTGAGATAGAGAAGCTCCAGTGGTTGCACCAGCAAGAGCTGTCCGAGATGAAACACAACTTGGGTGAGGCCTGGCAAATTGGTCTGGACTGAGCACGGCGTGGGGGGTGACCTCCTCTGTGCCTCCGAGTCAGGCCCGCATGTGAATGCAGTCAAATGTGGACGAGGGGGTAGTGCCACTCCTCGGGAGACCACGGACTCCTGGGGAGTCCAGCCTGGAGAAACCGGGTATAAAGGCAGGTTTTAAAGCACAGTCGTACCTGGTACTCGTCCGCTGCTGAGCTCGTCAGACCCTGTACTCCGTCACATTTTGATGAGAAACAATGTTTCAGCACTTGGTGCTTGCTTGAGTTTTGTCGCACTTGCTAGAACTTGTATGAGTCACAGCACCACCTGCAAGAGAAGATGCTTGCTCGGTACTCGTCGGTTTCGGCACTCATCACTAGTTCCGGAACAAATCAGCGACGAGCACCGAGGAACTGCTGTACCTCCTTTCTTCTCTGCAAAACACCAACCTCAGCATCAAAGTAACAGTACCAACAATACTAGCAGCTCCTCCTTATTAACCCCTTTACTTTGTGCCAGGATTCATTTAAAGTAGTCTTCTGTGAAGAAGCCAATTTAGTTCTTCCTGAAACTCGTACGATCAAGGGCTTTGCTATCCCAGTTCTTAGGCGAGACTGAGAGGCACAGGCATGTTAAGGACGTTGTGTAAAGTCACAGAGCCGTGATTCAAGTCCTTTCCCCCCCTTAACCAAGGAGTGCTGAGTGTTGTCTCTAAGCCCGGAGTACTCCGTGCCCCCCACACTGTAGACAAAGCTGCTTTGTTGGTCCCTGCGTCGGACTGACGGCTGTTTCGCCTCCTACCATTCTGTGTAAATACTCTTGAAGGCTTTTTCCCCAAACGTAGAGCAGGTGTCAGACCCTCACGTAACACCAATCGCAGGGTCTGAATGCGGGAGGCCATAGGCTCCCCTGGTTGGGGAGGCACACCAGCCGTGCATAGCTGCTCACTGTGATGCACAGGGAAACTCGCGCCTTGCAAATTCAAATCCTTCTGCAGCCACCCAGAGGGGGACGATGCCCCACTTGATAGCTTGTTGCTATTCAGGAAGTTTATTCGGATGATGCTTCTTTTTTCTAGTCAAGTTAAACAATATTTTTATGGAAAGGCTCTCCAATTCTAAATAGTGACTGAATGTTTGGATAAACACCACCGGTTGGCTGACCTGAGCCAGCCCCTGTTTAAAGGCAGCCATGAGCGGCGGGAAGGGGTCTGGCCAGAAGGGTTGTCTTCTCTACAAGGGATTAATTTTCCTGACAGCTCTGTTTTGGAAAGGTCATCCTGTTTTAATTTCAGAAAGAGGATTTTAAGGAATCGAGGAAGCATTTATTTGAGTGTGCAGGTCGTTCCCCGGTGAATTGCAAATGGACTTAAATTGTGTGAAATAAAATTAAGAGAACTCTCAGCAGACCGAGCAGTTCGATACCCTGTTAACGTGATGTTCAGCCACAGCACCCTGTGTGGCGGATTTCCTCATTGCCACCAGGCAGACTGAACGGAGAGCCTCTCTGAGTTCTAAGCCCAGCTCTGCCCTAATCATTAGCTGTGTGTCCCAGTTTCCTGGCCTGTGAAAAAGGTATTGTAGTAGTACTTACTTCCTAGGATTGGTACACTGATTAAATGAGTGAGTATTTATAATGTGCATATAGGAAGTACCAATGAATATTTGATAGAAGAAAAGGCTTGTACTCATGGTAAAATTCAAAGGGAGTTTAGGGGCCCTCGTTTGAGGGTGTATTGGAAGGCCCCCCGCAGAACCACTGTGGGGCTGTCGTTCCCACCGTACTGTGATCGAGCTGTTGATCCGCTAAGGTCATGGCTAATTCAGCCGCCGGTCAGGTGCCCATTTTACAGATGGAGATGTCGGGGCTTGAGGGGGTGGTGGGGTTACGCAGCAGGGGCATCCCCGAGCTGGGGCTCACGTCTGACGTGGTCCGAACAGCCCCACGCCTGGGCTGGGCCCGGGGACAGGTGATAAGGCTGGTGTCCTTCCCGCTCCCGGCAGAGCTGACCATGGCGGAGATGCGGCAGAGCCTGGAGCAGGAGCGGGACCGGCTGATCGCCGAGGTGAAGAAGCAGCTGGAGCTGGAAAAGCAGCAGGCGGTGGACGAGACCAAGAAGAAGCAGTGGTGCGCCAACTGCAAGAAGGAGGCCATTTTCTACTGCTGCTGGAACACCAGCTACTGCGACTACCCCTGCCAGCAGGCCCACTGGCCCGAGCACATGAAGTCCTGCACCCAGTCAGGTACGGCTGCAGCGGCGGGGGTGGGGGAGAGGGCCACAGGGCGGTGGGGGAGGCTCGCTCAGCCCCTTGTCAATCTCGTGCACGCACGTGCACACATACACACACAGTGTCTTGTACATACACAGCAGCAGCAGCAGCATGCACCCCACACGTAGCAGAGACTCAGGGTGCAGGTATCTCGAACCTTCGTGCTGTTTGCCACAAATGTGGGGCTTGCCGTGACAGCCCAGGGGACTTTAGACCCATGTGAGTTGCAGTGGTTCTCAGCTGGGGGCCGTCTTCATGTCCCATCCCCCAAGAAATTGGCAATGACTGCAGACATGTGCACGGGTTATAACGGGGGTGCTGTTGGCACCTGGAAGGTAGGCAGAGGCCGCGGCTGCTGCCGAACCCCTTATAGTGCCCGGGGCAGTGGCCCACACAGGGGGTGACCTGGCCTGATGTGTCAGTGGCACTGAAGTGGAGAAAACCTGCATTTTAGGCAATCCTGGACTCAGGGCTTCACATAGTTAGGATTCCCAGTGCTGATGCGAAGAACAGAGTCTTGGTGTGGAACGAATCCGTTCTTGGAATCTCTAACCTGGAGCAAGTGGGTCTCAGGCCAGGAGACACTGTCCGTCTAGAATTTATTCATAGTACCCTAAAAATAATGGTTACAGCTAGCTTTTAGTTACGGCCAATAATACTAGCTTTATGTGGTTAGAAGTAAAAGTCTCCACTTTAAACACTTTATTTAAATAAAAGTAACATGGATAAAATAATGTGACAAAGTGACATGTGTGCAGCCTGTCAAAATTTCCCAAGGTGATGTCAAAACGACCAAGTGTGAGAAGGGGAAGTAAGTCTTCTAGGGTCGAGGGCCACGGGGTCTGTCGAAATTGCTCGGCTCTGTTGTTGCATAGGCATGAAGTACTTGGCAGGGTGGCCATGTTTCTGTTCAGTTTCATTTATAAAAACGGGGCACTGGGTTGCTGCCTCCGCTCCATTCTGCCCTTACGTTCTGTTACTTTTAAAAAGGCAACTGTGAGCTGTACGTCGCTGTGTCCTTGAACCCGCCTTAGGGAGATGTCTTCTTACTAGCCAGTTTAAATCTCTTTCATTGGGACAGGTGAGGTCCCCTGAGTTCTGGAATGTGTCTGCTGCCCCCTTTCACTATTACGAGATGTCCAGAACCTCCTTTGGGTGCCCTTTCTGTGTGGCGTCATGGTGTCCATCCTTCCAAAACGCCTCTCACATGCGCTACGATCCTGCTTGTCCTAGTGCCCTCTGTCTCCCGAGGCCCCGTGCCCCTGACGTCATGCCATGTTTCCTGTGGTTTCCCGTGGTTCGGAAGGAAGCAGTTCCGTGGGGCTGACGTAGGTCGACACCGGGAGTTTATGAGGGTTGCCATTCTGGGTGAGCAGTCGCTGGCTCCTGGTTTTGGTCTCCGCTTATTCTATGAACATGCTTTTGTCTCCAGAAGAATTAGTAAAGCATGAGTTACTATAACGATGAACATATTTTCACATGAGATCTGGATGCAGCTTCCGGAAGACTGGAGGTCTGGCGACCCCCTTGGCCGGGGCTGAGCAGCTGCTGCCTCTGTCACAGCTCCTGGTTGGGCCCCAGTGTGCTGGGCTGTGGCACAGCCCCAGACATAGCTGGGGTCCCCGCAGGTCCTGAAGCCACGCCCCTCGTCTCACACGTGACTTCTTTCCCCTTCGCCCCCAGCTACCGCCCCTCAGCAGGAAGCAGACACCGAGGTGAACACAGAAACACTAAGCAAGTCGTCCTCCCAGGGGACCTCCTCCAGCACCCAGGCAACCCCCCCAGAAACAGCCAGCACTTCAAAAGACAAGGAAACGTCTGCCGAGAAAAGCAAGGACAGTGGCTCAGTGAGTATCCGCACGTCACTGGCCAGGGACACTGATCCTTTGGGCCAGGCAGAGTCTCAGGACCTGTCCCCATGCCTGCCACCCCTCAAAGTCGCCTAGATTTGTCTGTCGTCAAGGTGGGGCAGTCACACTGCAGGTGGGGTCGAGTGTTAGCGGGTTTCAGCAGGTCGCCTGTTCACCCGTGGGCATGTGGGCAGGGGAAGGGGAATTCCGAGTCCCCGTTGACATGTGTGTGACGTGACAGCTGCTCCCTGGCGACTCTCGAGCTCTAGACTAGCATTGCCGAGTGGGTCCTTCTGTGACGGTGGGCGTGTTCTGTAGCTGCTCTGCCCAGCGCGGTGGCCACTAGCCACGGGACTGTGTGAGCACTCGGACTGTGGCTAGTGTGACCTCAGAGCTGGATTTTCAACTGTGTTCTGACATTAGCCGTCGCAGGTGACCAGTGGCTCCCGTGCTGGACAGTGGGAGTTGCCTCTCTCAGTGTCCCCGTGTGTGGGATGTGTTGTCTATAAACATGAGCGGGCGGCACATCAATACTTTCTCACCTCTTCAGTCCTCATGTATTTATTCCAGTATCATCGGGGGGGACAGCACTGTCCCGTCAGTCAGAACCCTTCAAGGTCACTGACAGCATTGCCTAGTTAGAGGTGAATGTGAAGTAGAAGTGCATCCACACAACTTTGGAGTAATACACTTCCTTTTTGGATACGGCAAAACTCTGCAGGATTGGCAGGTCAGGGAGGGAAGGTGAGGAAATGGTGAGCGTTCTGGCAGCTGAGGCTGCGGGGTTGAGGAAGGGGCCCCCAGGGCTGCGCTCCAGCCGTCTGCAGACGGGGCAGAGTAGAGGGCCACCCCAGCCGCCCTGGCCTCCCTGCCTGCGCTCGCCGGGCAGAGGGCTCGAAGGCGCCTTGGGGGCAGAACTGAGCACCCCCAAGGGTCCCTGGGCTCCCTGGGGGCTACATCGGCCCCAGTGCCTTGAGTCCATCTCTCTCTCTTTGTATTTCTAGACCCTCGACCTTTCTGGCTCCAGGGAGACGCCCTCCTCCATTCTCTTAGGCTCCAACCAAGGCTCTGGTACGTTGCCCCCTGGTGGGTGAATGGTGCTGTCATTCCGCACGGGCAGAGGGGAAGCCGTTTTCTCAGAGAGAACCGGAAGGGTTCGTGGTTTCCACACTGCCGTGGATGCTTCGGGACCCTTGGGGGTGCCCGGGGCGGGTCAGTGGGGGTGAGGGAGTGGCTGGGCGAGGCCGCCGTCAGACCCCCCTGTCGGCTGACCAGCACTGACCTGCACGCCGAGTCCTCACTCCATGCCGTCGATAGCTTGTGCAGCTGTAAGGGAGACGACGCGTAAGGAAAGCAGCGCGGCCGTAGGCAAATTGATGTAAACGAGCTCAGTTCCTGTGGGTGCCCGTGGCGTCTCATCAACGTCACAGTGAAACGACATTGGAAGAGATGCCTTATTTGAGGACCTGCTGTGTTTGTTCATTATTTGTTGGGGAGCCACGTAAAACTCCGTCTGGACAGGGGGTTCCGTTGCCGACCTGGGCTGGGGTAGAAGACGCGCTTTTGGGTGGGGCAGCTCTCCCTCCCCAGGGAAGTGACCGCAGGGAACGGGACCCAGTGAAACTTGGTTCCCGATGTGCCCAGCACCGGCACTTGGTAGATGAGGGCACTTGAGTCTTGACGAAAATGAAGAAAAGTTCTAGGCAGACGATTGCTCTGTAGAACCCTTTCCTCTCAGGGACTAGATAACCTGGTATAGGCTGCATCGTGAGATTTTCCGAGTCTAAAGTTTAAGCCGTTCTCCTTTCTAGCCCAGAGGGTCGCTTCCCTATCCCCTTTTCAGCCTGTTTTGGGCCTTCCCAGAAGGGTTCGAAGATGGTGTCTTCCTTGAGGACAATTCTGCTTATCTCAAGGTTTTCCAGCTTTAAGATCCAGTTTCTCTCTGTTGGATAATTCAACAGTTTTTGTTTCCTCTTTGCATAGTAAATGCCTGGAGGAAGAGGTGGCATGCCCTGTGAGCGTGGCTGGAGGTCTCCCGAAGGGGCTGAGTCGGGGCATTCAGACGGGGGAATGACCTGGACTGAGTTTAGGGAAAATAGGACCTTGGCATTGACTGCCATCGAGCCACCTGTTGAATGTGTAACTCCCTTCCCACTTCCTCCTCGGTTCCCGATTGAATCTGAGCACAGGTGCAGCTTGGTGCTGAGCTGTCTTTTGCATTTCTTTGATATTTTCTCATTTTTAACACAGAGAGAGAGCGGACTATAGACCTGAGCAGCAAGGTACCCGCTGACAAATTTAATACTACAGTTTGCTTTTCATTATGTTTATTCATAGTGTTGCCTTCTGCGCATGGGCAAGTATTCGTGATTTTTCCCGCTTTGGGTGGTGCTAGAAAAGCTTCTGTTTTATTGAAGTTTAGCGGTGAGTCTAAAATAAAAATGTGAACTAAGTAATATGTAGGAGGGTTGTGGAGGTGTCAAAATCACACAGGTGGTATGACACACTATTTCCGACAGGGGGTGCTATGGAGAGTGGCGCTGCAAAGCGGAGGGATCAGCGGGGCACTGGGGAGGCAACGGGTGCCCTGGTGTTAAGTGGCATCTGCTGGCATAAGCAGGATTGTAGACAGCGACACGGTTGGGAGCTGCGTCGTGTTCCATTTGGGAAGCGAAGGAGGTACCACCTGGCCCAGGGGTCGGCAAATTGAAGGGCCATGTGGTGAAGATGTTAAGGTTTGTGGGCCACACGGGCTGTGGGTGTCACACAGCCTGACTCTGCCCTCGTGGGGTGAAAGCGGACGCGGGGAACGCGCATGCGTGCGTGGCCGTGCGTCAGTGGAACAGCCGGCATTTGGAAACACAGGCATTGGGCCGGGTTCGGGCCGCAGTTGGCTGACTGTGACCCACAGCACGCGGGTGTCCAAGGGGCTGGAAAGGAAGGTTCTGCTTTACTGCAGGTTAAAATAAGTAACACGTGGGAGAGAGGAGGCAAGAAGCCCCAGTTGAGGCTGGTGATTTGGTGCCTGGTGGATTGGGGGGAGAACATGATCCCCAAGAGTCTGTTGACTAGGTTGGGGTGGCAGGAAAGGGGAGGGAGGGAGAGGGAAAGGCCCCCGATTCTGTGGATTCCGGGAGGGTGCACGGCACTGGCTTTCTGCAGAGGGTTCAACAAGAGTGTGCCAAGTGTCTCTGAGGCCAGCACTCTGGGGGTTTAGCAGTGAACAAGGTGGACAGTTCCCCTTGGGATTCTCGGACAGTAGCTTAACCTCTGCTAGCTCTTGGCGTTGGTGGCAGGCAGATGAACGCCCGTGGAGGAGAGTGAGCTCTAGAAAACACTGGGATTTCTGAGGTCTTTCTAGGTTCCCGGGACTGGGGCGGTAAGAGGAAGAGTCCGGTTGGAAGGGAGAAAGGGTTCGTCGGGGGATGAGCTTCCTCAGGGTGGGCATGGGCCTGGGGCTGGTCCCTCAGTTGAAAGATTCTAATAAGGCATCACACGAGCAAAGTTAGAGGAAATAAAAGCAGATGGGAAATTCAGTGTCCGGGCCCAGCCTCACCGCCGTGTGCGATGCTGATACCTCCACACTGGTACATCATGTTCTTCCCTGTGCTTCTGTTTCTGGGCTTTATCTTTAGAAATTGCTCATTGATTTTCAGCTTTTAAGAGACGAGAGTTGGGGTCATGTAGGACGTCTTGCGTTTTGTCCCAAGCTACTGGGGTCACTATTTTATGTGCTGTGTGGTCCCCCTGGTCCAGTCCAGCTCTCACTCTGCCAGCTCGGAGGCAGAACTAACTGGTCCCTGCCCTGGTGGCCCATCTGCTCCCTCACCGCCCCTGCCCCGCCCACCTTGTCCCCTAGGACTTTGTTCACCGAGGTTGAGAACGCGCATTCTGTTCTGTGATTGTCGCTGGAGGCTGTGGGCCGCGGCTCCGCCCCCGCCCGTGGTGCCAGAGTTCGTGTGCTGGGATTTCCTTCCCGTTCTCGTGCGGTCTTGCTCTTTCTGGGAGTTCCTATTTTTTTCCCCCTTCGATCATGTCTTCAGTTAGTTCCTAACAAACTCGTCACTGTTACTGGTTATTTCATGGAGACTCCCTTCATGTCTATAATTTTTGACTCTTCAGTTTCTGATGTTATTTGTTGGTGTCCTACTGCCCACCACAGCTGAGGCTGCTCCTTCCTCGGCCCGCCTCCCTGTTCTGTGCCCGCCCTTGGCCGTGGGGTAGTTACTATTCACCCTAAGTGATCTGAATGCTGTGGGAGCTCCCTCCCTCCTTCCTGTGGGTTCTGGCACCTCTCTGTTTCCCTGGCTGAGTGAGGCTCTTGGCTGCCAGGGGTTCTGAGGAATTTGCTTTCAAAGTATTGGGGACCTGTGGTTTACAGAGCTGCCCGTAGGCCTCATACACGCCCCCAAGGCCGTGCTGTGTCCAGGGAACCTGCCTGCAGTTTAATACACGTGTCTGAAAAGCCCGAGAGCCCCGTGAACACGTTAGGTTGGAGCCTGGTGACGGGAATGAGGCAGGTGCTGTGAGCAGCATCCTGTGGATGACCGGGGGAGCGAGGCCCTGGGCCTGTGTGGAGTTGAGCTCTGGCGGGCTCCGAGGTGCCCGGGCTGTCTCTTCAGCCTGCCTGTGTCCCCGCTGCCGCAGCCTGCCCGGTGCACCCTGCCCACCCTGCCTGGGTGTAAGCATGGCCCTGTCTTGCGGAGGCTGCCATGGGTTCCTCCTGCCACGCGGAAGGCCCGTGGTGCCAGCGTGGGCTCCCTTGTGGGTGTTCTTTTGAGTGATGGGTCTCACTTTTGGCTCACGTGTCCTCCTAGCCGGGCCTCTGGCAGCTGTTGAAACTACCAGAGCATATGGTTTGGCTTCTTGAGGGGCATTCTTGCCAAAGGCTCCTAGATGGGTACCAGTCATCCCCCGCAGTGATGGTCCACACCAGCCAGCGCCCTGTGTCCTGTCTGTGTGAGGAGCTAGGGCCCACGGGTGCTGGGCGAGGCTCCCCTCCCTTCTCTGTGGTCACCGGAGCTGGGGGCACTTGACGTCGCTCGGCTGCTTGGTCGTAGGATTTTCTCACGTGTGGTGATGACCAACTACAGCTCTCGGAGACCTTCCAGAAGAACGAGAGGGGCGGGTGTCATGAATCGGGCAGAACGCTGAGAAGAGTAGATTGAGGATTGGTAAGACGGGGCCGGCCCTTGAGAACTGCGGAGTGGCAGTGACAAAATTCTCCCAAGGATGCAAAGTACAGCAGAGGGAATATAGTCAGTGGCATTGTAATAACTGTGCATGGTGCCAGGTGGATACTGGAGATATGGGGGGGAGCACTGTGGAAAATACGTGATTGTCTGGCCACTAAGCTGAACATCTGAAACTAATGCAAATAATATTGAATGTGAAAAAAAGTAAAAAGGAGAAAGAAGAGCCCCCCTTGACCCCAGCTTTGCAGAATACTGCCCCCTGTTGGTCATTGATGCAAGCGACAAAAGCGTCCATCCTGAGGGACTGCAACCTTGTGGGGGTCCTTGTTCTGGTCACAACACAACAGGTCGTAAGCAGTGTCATGCCCTAGCCCTGGGTGTCTGACCCGCGCCCGAGGACTGCACACAGCCCAGGATAGCTGTGAATGAGACCCAACAGAAAATTATAAATTTACTTAAAACGTTATGAGATTTTTTGTGATTATGCGTCACAATGGATTTAACGTGTGGCCCAGAGATGCCAAGAGGTTGGACTCCCCTGACGATGATGGGGCCCCTCCCTCATCTGATTCTGTCTCTAAACTTGACAGTTGAGTTCTTTCCATCAGTTAGTGTCACCTGCCTCAGGAAACGTTCAAGAGTTTTGTCCCGCTCTGTCTGAACTTGGTGAATTATCTCAGAGACGCTGGGCTCTGAGTGGTTCGCTGGTGGCTCTCGGAGTCAGTTGCCCAGGAAGCTTGCAGGCCTGGGCGGCGACAGTTCTGCCTCTTTGCTTACTCAGCCATTGGGGCGTCCTGTGGTCTTGGAAGCTCCCTTGGGTCTCATTCTGCTTCTGTATCCTCTGGTGACCCTCACTGTCCTTACTGAGGACCGAGGGGCGGGGGGAGGGGTCTGTGTTCCTGGCTGGACTTGACCGATCTGGTCCACGTTCCTTCTTTATCATCTGCTCCTTCGGGTGGTTTGATGTAAGCCTGTTTTTCAAGTTGCCTATACATTGATGAAAGAAACTATCGATACAAATAAGCGATCCAATGCCAAGTTTTGGTGCCTTTTTCCCGTGCCCAAGGTCGGGAAAGACACCCAAGGGTGCTTGGTGTCATTGGCGTCATAAAGGCGCGCAGTTTCAGGAACCGCACCAGAAGTGCCTTCCGTGGCAACTTTCTCACCAATCTTTAGTCTCTGAGCATGACACCGAAGTGTTTTTCCAACCAGCTGGTGTTCAGTCCTAAGGACAATCAGTTGACCCGTCTTTGTGCTCTGCAGCCCCACCAGTGACGGGGACCCCGTCACCACGGGCATTAAACAGTATCTGCGCCTCAGAGTTGTGTGGGATGAGCGGAGGGGTGGCGGCCCCCGGCCGGGTGGCCGGGGCCGGGATGCTGACCGCCTCTTTCTGTTGCTTCCCCCACCAGACCATTCCCGGAGCAGCAGCAAGCCCGGCTGCTGGAGCGGCAGCGATGAGAAGCGAGGCTCATCGCGTGCTGAGCTCAACACCAGCAGCGGCGCGAAGAGTCTCCTCCCGAAAGAGTCTCGGCTGGACGCCTTCTGGGACTAGGGACAAGTTGCGCCACAAGCCATCCGCCCCACGGAGGAAGAAAAAACCAGACCCCAGGAAAACAGGAAACAGCCAAGAAACGTGAGGCAGAACCACGGCTTGCGGGCTGGAGGTTCCCTCCACGGGGACTCGGCCTTTCCCCGGGGCGGCGTCTACACTACATCACGTCCGGCATTAGCTTCGACTGAGGACTGGTCCACCCACCTGCGACCGATGCTTTAGATGTAAATAATGTACAATTTGTGGGTGTCACCACACCTAGAGTACCTTCCCCTTTTTATATTTGTATGGACTTTAACTTATAAAAAAAAAAGGAAAAGCAATTAAAAAAAACCCCAGCAACAAAAGGAACGTTTTGGTGTTGGAGAAGGGGTTGGTCCATCAGCCCGTCTGTCACATCGTGCTATGGGGACTGGGCCGGGGGATGTCTGTTGCCCAGGGGAACGGGAGCTGGCTTCATTCAAATGTTTGGATGGGGCACAGCGGGATCGTGAGTTTCCGCGCAGATTCTGTGCTGTCGTGGGCACGTCAAGTCAAGCCCTTGGCCGCTTTCGGCTACTACGTTGCTAGGTTATCAGATGCAAGCTGTCTGGACCAGAAGGACACAGGGAGAAGCTAGTTTATTTTATAGGATTTAAACAATGACTCTACTCCTAAAAGGGAAAAAACCCTAATGTCCTTGTTTACAGAAGAGAAACAAGCCCCACTCAGCTCAATGGCAGAAGAGAAGAACACGGGACATTTTGCGTCATGAGGGTCTGAGATGGAGAAGTCCTTTCTTTGCATCGTGATTCCTTTCAATACACTCACACGTAGAAAGAGACACACTGCGCTTCTCGGAAGCGAGGACTTGGAGGCAAGGCGCACGCGGAGGACATTTGAGTCTGGGATGAAGCATGTCTGTAGTATTTATATGATGGAATTTTACATTTTTATGTACGCATGAAACCAAGGCAGTGTGAGAGAAAACGCCCGCCATGTCGTCGGTCACACTACGTAAACTGTAGTTCCATTTCGTATGTCGTGTAAAACTAAAAGCATTGAACAAAAGCAGAAGGCGATGTATGTATATGAGAAAATTAATTGTACGATATCATTCCAGTACATTTGGTTGTACATTTTAGTCTCGTTTTACTTTCTCTTCATTGTCGGTAAGAGGATGCGAACTGTACAGTGTCCAGCTAGTTACCCACCTTAGAGAAGAAATAAAAAAAAAGAGTATTAGAAGAAAACAGGAGAGAAAGAACATTTGTGAATTGCAGTTGTCAAAAAAAGACCCCCACAAAATAGCCTAGCTGGCCTTATTTGTGAAGCATAATTGCTTTTAGCATATGGAAGTATTTTTTCACATTTTCTTTGTATAAAATTTGTATTAAACTTAAATATCTTTTTTGATGACGGTGTTTCTTTGCGGCTGAGCCCGTGGACTTTCACGGGATGCGTTTTGGGGTTGCTCCCCTCCTCCATAGTTTTTTCAGATTCTTCACCTTTTTAAAATTAAACTGTTTTGGAAAAATGGCTTGGTCATCCCAAACGTGCAGTCTTCCACTTGGTCGGCATGGCCACGTCAGGTGCGCAGGGCCAGACGCAGGAGGCTGAGCCGTGCGAGGTCAAGGGCGTCTGCACAGAGTGTGGGCGTGATATACATGAGGACCCCCCCTGGTCTAGTTCCTTGAAATTTTTTAACAGAGATGTGAAATAAAGAAAATCCTGCATCAGTCTCAGAAAAACAGTGGGGAAGGAGGGAATTGTCTTTCCCTGGGAAATGTGGGGGCCTGAGCTCATCCTTCTGTGGGCAGCCCTGCCCAGGCGCTCCCCCCTCATTTCATTTTATGGGTCACATTATTTTGATTTTTTTCAACCACTTAAAAATAGAAACACTATTCACAGCTCATAGGTGGTACGAAAGCAGGATCGGCTGCCTTTGGCCCTCAGGCCGCTTGCTGGCCAGTGAAGCAGTGATTTAAAAATAAATGGTTTTCAGTTACAGTTGTTATAGACAATAGTTTCCAATGTGATGTGGTGGTTAGACACTTACAAGGTGCTCACCCTGAAAAGTCTAGTACAAGAAGGGGGTGTTTCAGGGGACGTTTGACCTGAAACCTGATTGAAGAGCTGGCTGCGGGAAGATAAAGTCGGCGAGCATGCCCAGACTGAGGGGGAGTGGCTGGTGCAAAGGGCTTGGGGCACATGTGGACTTGATGTGCATGATGAACAGCAAGGAGGCCGGTGTGGCCTGGAGAAGCGGGCAAGGCAGGGAGCGTGCTGGCTGTGTCAGCTGCCCTAGTGGGCTCTCGGGGTGGGGGGGTGGGGAGTGAGGATTTCCCCTTTGCCCTTGGTCCTGCACCAAACCCAAAAGGGCTGTTCATGCCACTCCGCATGACCCTCTGCTGGCCCTTGTGGAAACAGGCCCAGTAAGCGAATGGTTCAAGGCAACAGAGCTCATGAAAGATTCTAACGGGACTCCTTTTGAACTGCTCTTTCTGATAGATAGGGTGTTAGCCATTTTTTTTAAGTTAAAAAGTTTAGTTTCTTTTTATTGGGTGCATGCACACACCCTCCCTGTAGTCCTCACTTTAACCTGAAGGCCTCAGGGAGGGGCACAGTCCGGTTGAGGGGAAGAAGCTCCCCGGGCTGCAAGAGGGAGGCACAGTGGCCCCACCATCCTCTTTCATCCCTAAGGAGCTGGGCCCTCTCTCGTCCCTGGGCCTGGCGCACCTTTCCATGTCTGGCACCTCATTCTCCAGGTTGTCTTTCATCCTCTGTCTCAGCCTTTTAACTCCCGAGCAGAGCTGACTGTTTACGCAGTGTCCCTCGAACCCCCACACAACCTCTGCCCTTCCCGCTGCAGCGTCCCCTAGAAGAAAGGACTTCCCAGGAAGAAGCAGCTTATCAATGATTGAGAAATTGTTGCTTTAAAAAAAAAATGTGCATTTTACGTTTACTAAGTATCTCACTAGGTGATGCAGCCATATGCTTCAACTGTGAAAAGTGGGCTCCGTGTGTAGTCCCTCCCGGCCAACTTGGTCCCCTTCCTGCGCACCCTGCAGGCTTGGTGTTCACACAGCAGTGCAGAGAACGTTCTCACCCCCTTTCTATGCATACATGGCAGCATTACAGCATTTGATACTCACGCTCCTGTCCTGCCTTTGTCACGTGACCTAAAGCCTGGGCTGTAGTTCCATGTTGGTACCTGCCCACCGCGACCCTGAAATATGGAAGAGGACAATGCCTGTCACAGACCCCCGCGGATGGGTTTGCAGATTGTCACAGTGGCAGGACAGACAGACTTGCGCTCCAGTGCCAGTCACCTGTGAGGGGGTTCCGGGAACGCATGCCAAGTGGCTGCACGGGAGGGCCAATGAGGAGCCAGATTAGAGGGGAGCGACTTGGATGATCCAGACGGGGCTGCGAGGCCCCCTTCCTCTGACTTCAGTCTGGGTCGGACGTTTTCAGAGGCCCAATGTCTCCGAATCTAGGAATGAGGAAAGGAGGGAGGGCACCATGGCGCCTGCCATAGTCCTTGTTCCCTCCTCTTAGCGACGGCCAGGCAGGACAGTCTAGGGGTGACCTTGAATGCAATAAGGCACTCCCGCCACCTAATGGTCGCTATGCAGAACTACAGCTCCGGATACGGAGCTGGACTGGGAGAAGCTGGGCCAAAGTCGTTGGTTCATTCAGGGGACTGACTTGGTAGCAGTCTGTGAGCCAAGCACTGTACAAAACAGGTGTGGCCTCTGCCCTTACCCATCGGACACTCTCACTGGGAAGCCGACAAATGTGCATATAATGCCACCTGGGTGGGACAGAGGCATTGAAGGTACCCAAGCAGGGTAAGCAGGGAGGTAGATGTGATTACAAGGGCCCGTTCGAGAAGCTGCGCTGTGAGCAAAAACCTGAAGAGAGTGGGGACAGAGCCGTGGTGTCCCAGGCAGCGGTTCTAAACTCTGGAGGACCACGAGAAGCCCCTGGGGAGATGTGAAACAAACCCATGATGCCCAGGTGCCATCTCAGCCCTAAAGAATGACATCGGTCTCTCTAGGGCTTGGGCAGTTGTCCTTTGGTGAAGCTCCTCACGGGCAGCCAGAACTGAGAGCTACTGACCTGGTTGGAAGAACATCCCAGGTAGAAGGCAGAGCAAATGTAAAAAGGCCCCAGGCAGGGACCGGGCATCTTTCCAGAAGAGACGGCGGACCAGTGAAGCCAGAATGGAGGGCTTCGGGTGGGGGTGGGGCTGAGAGCTCAGAGGGAGAAAGGCCTGGGTTAAGGTGGCATGTGAGATGGGTGTATCTAGATTGGCTAAGCCTAGGCTCCACTGGGTGTATCTGATTGACTGAGTCTTAAGTACCTGGATGTATTTGATTGGCTGATTGACTAAATCTAAGTATCTGGGTATATTTGATTGGCTGAACCTGGGTACCATCTGGGTCTGATTGGTTGAGCGTAGGTCACATGCGTACATTCTCACTGCAGGCTAGAGGGAGGCTAGAAATGTGAGATTCTGCCTGTTTCTGATACAGACTCCCAAGGTGGGAAATCATCCAAACAAAAGAGTTGACAGAGACCTTGACCGCACCCACTGCAGAACTGTCCAGAGTTTCTGTCAGTCAGGTCAGATGTAGAGAGCAGCGTTCACCCAGCCAGTTAGAGCAGAAGCGTGTACTCTGTACTGGGTCAATTTGGTGAGGCTGGAACTACGTTGCCCAGAATCCCTTTCCTTGAGTGGTTCTGAGTTAAAATTGACCAAAAGAGCAACTTGTGTAAGATTTTTGAAGGTGGAAAGGAAACAGCCTCTTCTCTAGCAAGGCCACTGTGGCCAGACGTGGTGACAGACGGGCCTGCAGGCTCCACCCGGTCCTCGCTGTCCTTTGTGCTGTATCCAGGTAGCCTTGACCCCTGGACATCAGCGTTTAGCTCACCTGTGGGTGCTTGGCTGCAGAGGCAATGGTTCCAAATCGATTTCTCACAGTGCCCCTTTGCAGACTCACTCGGGTGGCTGGACAGGCCTCACCGCTTCTCAGGCTGCCTGGTTGTTGACTCCCAATGCCCATTTCCCGACCCTGACCTCCCCAGCTCCTTCCACCACTGTATAAGGTCCAGGTCCCATCATAAATTATTTACCCCAAACTCCTGGGCAGATCTGGCTGCTTCCCTCATTGGATCTGATTGACTTGTTAGGAGTGTTTACAGAATCACAAGGAAGACCAAGGAAGCCACGTGGCAGGGCTGTCAACAGTGTGGGCTGGGGCTGGGGCTGGGGGTGGGGCCGCTCTCGCAGGATCCTGAAGCATCAATGCTGACTCCATAGGCAGATGCATCAGCTTCTGGCGCTGCCCTGCACCAGCTCGGCTCTGGTCACACCTGCAGGCTGGTTGCCCTGTGCACAGCCAGCCACCTTTCTCCCCTCTTAGCTCAGTACCTAATATAGCCTCTGGGCATGCAGCTGATGGGCGGGCCCTTAATTGCTCCCCACCTTGGCTGTAAGGGAGTCTTGGGAAGAGTGTGTCTCCCCGAACAGGCACTGCTCATTACTGGGATTTCTGAGTGGCCTCAACAAGCCGATTTACCACTGAAACCTGGGTAGGGCCTGAAGAAGCTGTGGGAATCCCTTCAGGGTAGCTCAGGTGGCTGCGGGGTCACACTGCCCTCTGGTGGTCCATGGCGAGCACAGCTCTCTGCCTGCGCTGAGCTGGCTTCTCAACTCAGACTCTTCTTTACTCAGAACAAACTGCCGCAGGTCCACGCAGCCACCTGGAGGTGACTCAAAAGCATTGCGAGTGAACGGCTCCAGGCATGGCGGGGAGCATTCTGTCTGGGCCTGTGTATATGAAATAGATCAGGCCAGACTGGTGACAGAAATCCGGATTGGGGCGGCTGTGGGCAGAGGCTGGGAAGGGCCAAGAGGGAGCTTTGTGTGTGTGGGGGAGTGGCCCAAAAATGTCTTCTGTCTTCCTTGGTGTAACCACAGCTAAAAATACATCAAGATGCATATTTGTGCTTTTTGCAATAAACTGTGTGTAGTTTACAAAATAAAGCTAGAAAAATCTCAAGTTCATGGGGAATCTCGTGACTGGAGCTCCTGCCTTGACCCTTCCCACTCTGAGTCATTCCCCCCACAGTGGCCAGGTGGGTTTTTAAAATGTCAATCACGTCAGGCTGATCTCCTGCTTAAAACTCTCTGGTGTCTCTTTGTTGGATTCAGAATAAAATCCCCACTCCAATAAAGTCCAAACTCCGTGACTGAGAGGGTCCAGCCAGACCTGGCCCGGCCCCCTTTCTTTCCCTCTTGCTCACCAGGAAACTTGGTACCTCCCGCGCCTTTCTCTGGCTTTTCTCATCATCCGGGTCTGACCTTGGCTGTCACCTCCTCAGAGGCCCTGGCGCTGTCCCAGTCA